AATCAACTGGATCTGTTGCTCTGTAAGAAAGTGTTACTTTTTAAACTATAACATGAATGTTAAAGGAGGGAAGTCTGTCACTTAAGACACAGTATACATGTGTCTTTCTTTTTTGCTGTAGTTTTGTATAAAAGCTTAAGTACTTGGGCAGCTGGGTTTCAACCGACACTAGACTGAAACAACTTCCCTCCTCCCCCGATAATCTTTAGCCTTTAGCCATAAGGGACAATTCCCAGACATTCACTAGAGGGAAGTGAAAAGGGTTGGTGGCTATAATAGTCTGGTAAATGTTCTGGAAAGCATGCTCATTCAGATGGAAGAGCCGATCCTGCCACTAAATTGGTGCTGCAGTTTGGCTCCAGGCGGCTAGCATCTGCGCATTAGTACTGCTTATTCATCCTGATGCTTGGCAGAAAGGGGGTGTGGGCCAGAGTGCCCTGTGGTTTGGATGCGATGCTCCCTACCCCTTGTCATTCAGATTCTGCATATATTTTAGGAGCTTCAGTCTGTGCCTCAAAAATCAAGGCAGATGTTTAAAGACACCCCACCTCCCAAAGTTTCTTCCTACTGTTAACCACAACAAAATTCTTTATGCCATTATTCCCCCCACCTCTCCAAAAAGAGTTATGCTACTTCTGCATACAGATAAAAACAAATAAGATGAACTTTAAGCCCAGGATCAGCTATAAGTGTCCTTTAGGAACATTGTAAGGGCCTGAGAGTTTGCAAGAAAAAGTTGGAAGACTTAAGATAATTGTATGTTTTTCTGCAACCTAAACCAACATTTTCTTTTCCAAATCCAAGTTTGCAAAACCACTGGTATTCACTGTAAAGTAGTTGTTTAGCCTGAAAATCTTGCGGTGTTTCAACACTTCCGTTGGTGGTGGTATTTTTCTTTTTGACCTGTGCTGCTAATGTATGGGGACGTTCTCAAAGCTATAACTTTGGTTTACCAGATTTTATCCCAGGAGGTTTACTCCTTTGACCTTCTATAGATTGGCTTGCATCAAAGAGCCCCATTCTGTGCTCTAAGGCCTGATTAGCATTTTGCATGCTGCTGACAAAACTGTTTTCTCCACATGATTGGATCCCATACTGCAGTGGTAGCAGGCAGGGAATAGATCTCCTGATTCATGTGAACTTTTCCAGAACTGCTGGCTTGCCTCTGCACCATCATAGGAGCGGCCTTTGGTGATGGCCCTGAATTCTTAATAGAGGCACACATTCTCTGCAAAAGCTCCCCACCCCATTCAGTAGAGGAGACAGAAGATGTGATTCTGTTTCAGATGTGCTTCAAATCCAGGCCTTCTCTGACATATAAAAAATCACAGTTGAACCTATGCTGTTCCATTTTACTGCTTTTTGTATTATTTTGTATTGTAATTGTAGTTTCAAAGTTGTTCTCAGTAGTGGATTTTAAATGCATTTATTTTGAATAGTTATTATATTTAAATATGGATTTTGATATTTTCATGTGAACTGCCTGGAGATTTTTCATATTAAGCAGCATATATGTCTGCTTAATAAGTTAACAGACAGACAGACAGACAGACAGACAGACATGCAAGATATAAATCATTGATGGGTCACTTACTGCAAAGCTCATTAAGCCTCATTGTAGGCCATTTGTATATTCTGCAATACTGACTTAGAAGCAACTTATTTTTGCTTTCAAAATTATCATCATTCAGCTCACTCTTGGACAATAATGGAATTAAAGGCTCACTAAGGGGGACAAGGAGATTGCAGAGAAGCTGAATGAATTCTTTTCATCAGTCTTCACGGCAGAGAATGAAGAGCAGATCCCTGTGCCTTAACTTATGTATTCTGAAAGGGATCATATTAGTGACAAAATATGACATTCTCAACCTTTTTGACAAACTGAAAGTCAGCATGTCACCTAATCCAGATGATACCCATTCTGGACTTCTCAAGCGTGAAATTGCTGACCCTCTTACAAAAATATTTTAAATACCCCTAAAATTAGCCCTTGTACCAGCAGATTGGAGAATGGTCAGTGTAACACCAGTCTTTAAAAAGGGATCTGGGAATCTGGGAAATTAAGGCCAGTTAGCTTAACATTTGTTCTGGGTAAACTACTTCAAAGCATTCCTAAAGATAGAACCAGTAAGCACATAGATGGATAAGCCATGCTGGACAAAAGTCAGCATGGCTTCCACAAAAAGAACCCTTGTCTTACTAACCTATTGGAGTTCTCTGGGTGTGTCAGCATAGGCAGGGGCAATCCAGTAGACATCGTTTACATGGAATTTTTGACAAAGTCCTTCACCAAAGGCTGCTGAGCAAAATAAGGAGTCATGAAATAAAGGCGGCAGCAGGGGATCCTCTTATGGATCACTAACTGGTCAAAGAACATAAGACAGAGGGTGGGAATAAATGGTAATTTCTTCTAGCAGAGAGAAGTAACCAGTGGAGTCCAACAGGCTTATGCATTAGGTTCAATTTCTTTTCAACCTGTTCACTAATGATCTGGAATTAGGAGTAAGTAGTGAAGTAGCCACATTTGCTGATGACACTAAATATTTTAGGATGGTTTAAACCAAAAGGGATTGTGAGAATTGCCGAAGGATCTCTCCAGGCTGGAAGAATAAGCATCAAAATGGCAAATGTGGTTCAATATAAGCGAGTATAGAATGATGGATATTGGAGCAAAAAATCCCAACTTCAAGTATACTGACAGGATCTGAGCTAGCAGTCACTGAACAAGAAGGCTCTTGGGGTAGTAGTGGACAGCTTGATGAAAATGCTGGCCCTGTGCTTAGCTGCTGTGCAGAAGGCGAACTGCATGCTAGGCACAATTAGAACAGAACAGAATGGAATAGAAAATAGAACTACCAAAATTGGCTCTCCTTAGACATATTGGTTCAATCACACTTACAAAATTGAGTTTGGTTCTGGTCACCTTACCTGAAAAAGGACATTACTGAATTGGAAAAAAGTATCGAGAAGGGCAACAAAACTGATCCAGGGGCTGGAGTAGCTGTCCTCTGAGGAGTGGTTAAAACTGGGACTGTTGAACTTTTAAAAAAGGCAAGTAAGGGGAGATGTGTTAGAAGTGTTTAAATAATGCATGGTGTGGATAAAGGAGAGGGAAGACATTGTTCTCCCTCTTTCAGAACACTTGAACCTGAGGTTGTCCCATGACGCTGATTGGTGGGAGATTTAGGACACATAAAGGGAAGTACTTCTTCAGCCAATGTACAGAATGTACTGCCATGGGAAGTGGTGATGGCCACCAATGTGGATGGCTTTAAAAGGGGATTGGACAGACTCATGAGGGAGGAGGCTATCAGTGGCTACTAACCTTGCTGGCTGTGTGCTACCTCCTTTACCAGAGGTGGCGGACCCACATACACCTGCTGCTGAGGAGCTTGGGCAGGCAGAGGTCTTGCACCCATCCTGCTTGAGCTGTCCTTTGGGCACTGGGTTTGCCACTCTGTGTGTGGAGTGCTGGAACTAGGTGGACTTTTGGTCTAATCTAGCATGGCTTTTCTCATGCTCTTATGCCTACTTGCTCATTCAGAGCAGGCAGGTGAACAAGCAGCAAGAGCAAACAGAATCAATACGTAGCAGTAAGGTTCCAAGGACCGGCAAGGACCACCCTCCTGGGCAGTGGGCCATGGCAGGTGTCCAACCATGCCAGCCCCTGACACCAGCCTGGATAGCAGTAAGCAAATCCCAGTGACAAAAGCTGATCAGCTCCAGCCTGCTGTTCTGAATAGTAATGCCAGGAAGTGATAAGAAAAGGCCATTTCATCTACAAGCAGGTTTACAGTACTAACCTACATGGAAGTCACTCCCATTTCAGCATTATGTAATGGATGAAGAGGCAGCTCATGGTACACATGCATAATCCCATTCTAATATGCTGAACTCAGAGAATGAATATGTAGCCTTATGCAGAAAATATGTTTTGATGTTTATGTAGTGAAAATATCATCACCTGCAACAAAAGGAGAAGACCAGGAACTATATGGGAACCCCCTGTAGGGGATTTAGGTTTTCAAGCCTCAGAGTCGACCCACTGAGGACTGAGGACCCACTGAGGATGCCAAGAAATGCATATGGGTGGTGGGGTATGTGGAGAAGGTATAAAAGAATGGAAGACAGCATGGTTGGCTGGAATCCTGAACAAGAGTACTTTACTCTGTAACATTTTCTTGCAGGTCCCTTTTACTTTTTTTTTAAATAAAAATTGCATTTCAGGTCCCAAAACCCACAATTGGACAAACATTTCATATGTCTTCAAGTTCAGTCAAACTAAGAAAATGAAAGTAGTATATGAATACAATTGGAAACCTTTCAGTGAGATACCTCCAAAAGAGATGCAGATTAAAGAATTGGATCCTGATTAGTGAAATAACTTCTTTGAAAAATCAGATGGCAGATGGATACCTTTGGTTTTCTACAGCTTAAATGGATCATATGTTAAACTAGCTACTACTTCTGGTGCCATCTTTAAATCTCATGAGTCCTTATGGAAAACCTTGGATTTTTTTAAAATTATACCTAAAATACAGTGTACAAATGTTTCAAACAGGAAATAGTTGGAATTGCATGTAACTTACAAATGATTTACTGGAGAGCTAGGACTGCAGACGCCAACCCAGGTGTGCTGCATTGCAATGTATTAGTACCCCAACCAATTTAGACAAAAAAAGTTAGTCAAAGTTAGACATTTAAATCAAGTTACGGTACTGTAGAATAAAGCACCCAGTTTTGGAACAAAGAGAAGAGGTATGCTAAGATTTTTAGAGTCATTGTATTGGACCTAAATAATTATATGCGATGCAAGAATGTCCATTATAGATAAGAAAATTGGACTAATGTTTTCCTGCTTCAATCTATACAGATGTTATTACAAAAGAATTCTGTGTGGTGACCTTTTATTCTGCTTATGTTTAATTAATGGATATAGTCTGGAGGGTTAGCACATGTGTTGACCTCCTTTAATTCTTTCTGTTTCTCTCATCACTTAGGTTTCGTCACAGCCCTAATTGCTTTTACTTGAGAGACTGGAGCATTCACAGCTGGATTAGGCAATGCCTTAAGTTTGGTGCACAGGATAAAGCTCTCTACACTTTGAAAAATAAGGTGACGTTTTAATAAGGCACTTTGCAGGCATTGGTACTACTGCTTTTCAGAAAGTACATAATTAACTGCACCAGAGGCCTTGCCATGAACATGTGTCTTCTTCACAGATTGCATTTGTGGTTTTGGATGAAAATGTGGTGCTTTAAATAAGATTAAAGTTAAAGACATCCCGATGCTGTAAGAGTGGAGGGGTGGGAGGTGGTCACATTTATTTATTCATATTTCTACTTCACATTTCTTTCTCCAAAGAGCCCAACACCTTTACACAATCTTCTTCCTCCTCTCCCTTTTTCCTTATAACAGCGCTGTAAGGTAAGCTAGGCTGTGCATCAGTGAAAAGCCACCAGTGAGTTTCAGGGCCAAGCAGGATCTAGAAATCTGGATGTCCCAAGTTCTTGTCCAGCTTTCTAACCATTAGTCTCAGCATGCCTGCCTATTTCTCTCCTGATCAAATCAGTAGGACTTAAAAGTGTTTAGCTTTGTCTGGGATATACCTATTCTTTATTTATTAAGTGTCTTGATTAATAAAGCATGTAACATCTTCATTAATAGTGTGGTATTGCACAAGCACTGCTAGTGATTGCTAGTCACTGCAGGCAGTTTCAGTAAGATAGTTTCTACCAGACTTGGAGTGGGTTTGAAAAGGAATGAGCAGTAGAAGCCTGTGGTTCCTAATTTCCCATGCACAGGTATGCGTGACCCTGCAATATTTTCTGGTTGTTTTGGTTTGTCCTGCTTGCTTAAATTTTGAGTCAGAGGTGAAGCATGTCTCCTGCTTTAGTGATACAGCGACACTTTGCTGTCATTGAACAGTCAAAGCAAGAGGAATTTGCTGCTAGAAGTCTCAAAACCTTGAAGAAAATACACTAGAACATAATTTTCCAAAGACCTACTCTTGGCAGGAAGCACAATGAAAGGCATGTCTTCCTGAACAATCTCTGCACAGGGTTAAGAATATCAAAAGCCTATTATACACTGCACATTTGGAAACACATCCCAATGAAATCTCATTGCATATTAGTAATGAAAACTTTGAGCTGAAACAGAAAAGGTTGGGATCAGGATGGTGTGGGATTGATAAAAATGAGTGTGACTATGTGCTTGTCTGCAGTTGGCTGGTTGTGTGTGCTCACCTCTCCATATGAGTTATTGTGAACAACAACTTGGCAGTGCTTTGGTTGTGCATATATAGTTCTGTCTCTCTTCTTCAAGGGCTAGCATAAAAGAAGCATGATGAATGGATTGCAAGTCAGTGAATGTAGCTTTGCTATTTTTTTCTTGATGTTCTAGACAACTTATGCTGCCCATCTCAGCCTTAACCAATGAATTGCTTTAGCAGCACAAGCAGTTAGGCAGTGGTAGATTCAAGGCCAGCGTGTACAACTCTCATACTTGCCTGGTCAAAGTATGGCAACATCCACATGCCACAGACAAATGCCACTTTGCATGTTCCAAAGAATATTATTTTTCATGTTTCAGTCAGTGAAAATAAACACTTAAAAGAAACATCTATTCTTGTAGACATGTCCTTGGACTTTCCTTATTGTATTACTTGTGTAAATTGTAATCATAAAGTATATGAGAGTAAACATGTTTGCACATTTTTGTGCTTTCTGCTCCTTTTTTTCAGGTACAATATGGAATATTTCCTGATTATTTTACTTTCAATATCTTAATGGATTCTTTTATAAAAGATGGCAATTATGAAGGTAAGAAATCAAATATACAATAAAAGTCACATGCCTCCATATGGCTTGGCTAACATTACTCCCATTGGGCCTCTAGCTGTTCACCTGATTTCCCATGATTCCGCTGGCAGTCAGTCAGGATCTTAAAAGGAACAGAGGGGAGTGTGAAGCTACAGTAGGTGTCAAGGCAATGGCAAGCAAAGTACCCTGAATATTTCGACATGTAACATCACAAGGGCCGATATCTGTGAAATGTATGATAGCAAAAGGACACTTCCCAAAGTATTTTAGTTTGTTTATTTCTTTATTTAAGTGCCTTTCAGAGTGTATTGCCTTCACATGGAGGCTTATAATATTATTATACACATGTGCTCACATGGAGCAGGAAACTGCTTTTTAAAAACACCACATGCTAACTGTGCCTTCAGGTTTGTTGAAAGGCCAGCAATGATAAAACTATTTACATCTTTGTTTGTTTGATTGCTAGATGCTATGGCTGTAGTCACTGAGATAATGATACAGGAAAATTTTGATGAAGTGTCTACACAGCTTCTATCTCTCTACGTCATGTACAAATATTTGGCCACCAAATCAGAACTTACGGTAAGCTGTTTGTATAATAAACCTCTGTAGCTATTGGTTTAGGGGACAAGACAATAGTATGTTTCAGGCACAGCATTTCCAATCTTCCAAAGCATGATTTAGAGCAGGGGAAGGCATACCTATGCCCTCTAGATGCTTTAGAATGCAACTCCCATAAGCCACAGCCAGCCAGCCCCATGGTTAGGGATTATGGGAGTTGTAGTACATAGTCTATCTGGTGGGTGTCAGGTTGTCTACCATGTTTTGGAAGATCAAGAAATAATAGCCTGGGATGCTCCTATTCCCTCCCTCCTCCTTTCCTTTGGCTGAACAGAACATAATTTCCATAACTTCCAATTAGAGCTGACTGTAGTTTGCACAAATACAATTTATTTCTAAACCAAGGACTGAGACCTTTGTTTGAAGTAGTTAGAAAATGGGGTCACATGTTTCCCTGACAACTATACCTTTTTCAGGATTCCAGCTTGCATAGAGCAGGGTTAGGCAGACTGGTCTTACCAGATTTGTTTTCCATTTTGATAGATTACTGAGATCTATCAACTGGAGTCTGGTGCAAAAGACAGACACTAAAAGGACTCTGAGCCCATCCATTAAATGAAGCACAGAGTCCTTCTCCCACTTTCTGTAATTCAGTACTATAATGTAGAGCATACCTGGGAAGTCTAAAATCTTTGCTGAATTGCCCAGAGTTTTAGCAGTTGGTCCAGATCTACCTTCTGCCCACCCCTGGCATACAGAGCTAAGTGTGCAGGGTTCCCCTGCCTGCATGTCCACAAGCAAGGCGTAGATATCAAAGGCAAGGCATTCATTGTGTGGAGCCTCCTATATGTAACTCATGCATACAGTGCACTTTTGATTTCTCCTAAAATGAAGCTGCATAATAGAAGGAGGAGCAATGCAAGATGCAGCAAATTTATGATAATCCAAACCATGTTTTGGTATATCATCAGCTTTGTATTCGCAGCATGTATCTCCTCTCTGCTCCCAAAGTTTGTCAAGATAAAGATATTAGTTTCTTATGGAGGTCAGTATTCTTGGACTTCTTCCTGTGACAGATATCCTAAGATTTATTCTGGTATCAGCAATTGGAACTGTGTTCACTGAATGCTTGAGCAGCTGAATTTGAAAATGTGCTTTCAGTTGTGTGATTCACCTGAGAACAATTGCTGGAAGGCTTATGACTTGACAAAGAGAAACATGGCTAAATCTCAGGAAGGGAGATTGATTTCCATACAACCTGACGAATTGACTTCATTTAATCTTGCCTTTTCCAGGATGTTTATATCATCTGTAACTTTCATCACAAATAGTCCTACTAGCTAGTGTGTATAATAACAGGGTGAATGAGCACTAAGACAAAATAGGTGAAGACTTTTGGACAATTGAGGAAAAATACTAGAGAAATGCTGTTTATTCTTATTGTCTACCTTTCTTCAGTTTCCACAACGATTACTCCTTTCCATTAGAAAACCTAGAAAATGGTTTTATATTCTAACATGAGCAATTGAATAATATACAAAAAATCCTTCAAAAAACATTTTTGAAGAATTTTAGAGAGCTGTGATTTAGAGGACTACACACATTCTACACATATCCCTCTTCCATTGAATATTCCTGTGCTTCCATTCAAGCATTTCCATTGCTAATTACATGTAGAAAAATGCCATGGTGTTGACAGAACATCCAGTAAAACTCTGTTATGTGAATTTCTCAGTATTCCATTTTCTCAGTGTGTCCCCTAAATGTGAACATAAACCTATACAATCATTACCTTTTTATTATTATTAATTTGAACTTCTGCCCATGCAAACATTCTTCCCATCCAGTCACTGATAAATGAAAGAGTGCCGTTTTTAATTAAATGCAAACCGAATAGTTCAAAACTATTAAAGTTGACAATATGAGAGTCTGCTGTTTCCTGAAAAAAGGAATAAAGAACATGCCTCACTTGGTCTCCTTTATACATTCCCCCCACAGATAAGCCAAACGTATCAGATTTGAACCCAGTGGCTCATCCTTCAACATCCCCCATCCAGGTGTACAGCCTGCAGCCACAGGTGCACCATGCAATCAGGAATACATGATTATTCAGCTGTGTACACAAAAGCACCCTTTTTCAGATATCCCACCGAATGTGCAGGCACCAGGGGCAGGCAGCACAATGCATTCCCTCTCCACATGTTTGGCCTACTCATAAAGGGAACAAGTGAGAAAAGATTTGGAGATCATGTGCAAGAACCTTCAGCTTGTATCTAACATGATAGTGTACAGCTAATAATGTTGTATTAGTGTAAACCAACACTTGTGTGAATGTTGGTTTCTTCTAGAACAGTGTCATGAGCACTAATGCTGCCAAATCAAGAAGAGTCCTGACCTGAAAAATGGCCAAGGGGTAAATAAATAAATAAATAAAGCAGTTGCTTTGAAAAAAAATAATACTTTTTTGTCACCATGATACCAAATGTCACCAGCAAATTAATGCTTTTTCCTGTTATTTAACATTTGCACAATATTGGTTTATGCTGGTGCAATGACATTAGCATGTTTGATGCTTCCCTTTGATTCCAAGTTTTTAAAAGCGGTTCTATATACCCTGTACTACACTTGATCTTAGCCAAAAGTCCGAGAAGCCAACCTTTCCTGAGGTTGCTTTTGCAATTTGGAGAAGGAGTCAATGTATGTTCTTCTCACGGCTCCTATGAGGGGCAAGGGAGGGCGCTTCCCAGGTTGGAAGTCAGAGCTGTTTTCCAGCACTGGAGCTGGGAATCCAAAAGGTCCTGTGGCTCTCTAGGCACTGTTGAGACAGCCATACAATTGCTCTGTGATTCTGACAGAAGCTTTTGTGGCCTATAGTGCACTTTATCAGATACTTGAAGTATTGTGGAAAGTTCTGGGGTTTTATATGCTGTGTGCTGTGCAGGTTTCTGCACTGAATTTCCTTCTAAACTCATTGTTTAGAGCTGTTCCTTCAACCCACCTACATAATGCATAAAACCCCCAAAATTGTCCATAGCACTCCATGCATCTGATGAAGCAGGCTGTAGTCCACAAGCACCCCTGCCATTATAAATGTGTTAGTCTTCAAGATACCGCAAGACTCTTTGTTGTTTACATTTTTTCATTTTACCAAGTTGTTTGCAGCTGACAAAAGTGTTCCTAAATATATGTATGCTAAAGAATAATGTAACTTTGGGTGGTCTTCGGTGAGATATAAGAGGACGGAGGGGGTGCACATTTTAGAAATAAATTATCTCTGAGCACTGTAAACTCTTTTACAGTGATTGAAAAAAGACGTAAAATGTTTAACAAACAAATCCATTAAAGGCGAGAGAGAGTGCACTCACACAGACAGATGTTAGGGTGCTGTGCTCTATTTATTTAGCTAACAGTTTCACCTGTAGGACACATAACAGCCTTTCCTATCTCGATGTCCTCAAGATGTGTTGGACTGCAAGTCCCAGCATCTCCAACCAGCTAGCTAGGAGTTCTAGTCCAGCACAGCTGGCTTGGGAGGGCTGACACAGAGGGACAGAGGTAGTCCTGCGTATGCTGGAGGATGCAGAGAGCACGATGGCAAGAACCAGCTGCAGCCCCCGCTGTTCTACCATTTGTTAAGCCACGTCTGCTATTTTTAGTGGGAGGAAGAGAGAAATCTTGGCGCATCCCTGTTGTTAGCAGGCCTGAAGCAGACCAACACGGTGGGACTCAGCTCTCAGCTGTATGGCTATGCACTTCTTGGTAAGTTTTAAAAATACTTAATTAAAGTACTTAATTTCCTGCTTTATTGATTAGTTCCAAGTGGATGGATTAGTAAAATTAATCAAATACCATTATAGCCTTTGACAGATTACAAAATTGTAACTAAATCAAATTCTCAGTGCTGGCATACAGTCCAAATAATGGGAATCCCATCTGCCAAGCCTGAAAATCCATTGGACTTTGTGAAGACCTGAACTGCCCAGTGGATGGATCCTCTCTTTCTGCTAGTTCCTTGCCTTCCCCAAGAGCCATGAGAGATAGAAGCCTCCCTTCCACATAGGGGAAACCCTAGAAGGTTTTCCCTAAGCTTGAAATAATGATAAGGGTAGGGGATCGTTGGGATCGTGAGGTTTATCTAACTACATAGCTCATGATTCCCAGCAGTAAACAGTACTCCATGCATCATTTGCAGTTAATAAGTGACCTTGTGGGGCAACTTCTATATGCTGACCTTCTTCTCCAAGTTTTGTTAATTTGAGTGGGGGAACTGGCAACATTGTGATATAAACCCTTTGGCCCAGACTGAAGGGAATTTGGACTCTGCTTGAAATGGAAAGGGGAATGCATGTTGAATTTCTACCACTGAAGTATTGCGCTATTCCTAAAATGAATAAATATTTTTCACTGTTTTTCATTCTCTAGACTACCAATAGTGGGCACAGGGAGGTGTACATCACCCAAAGGCCAGGGATAGAGAGGCATGTCTTAATCTTGCCTCTGCACAACTCTCCTGTTCTGTTCTGTTCTCCCATTTGTGTAGAACTTGGTATGCAATGTCACAGGTCCCCCTTTTCGATATTATTTCCATATATATTTTATATATATATATATATATATAAAACACACACATCATAAAGCAAGATAACAAAATCCCATGGTAGTTTTGTATGAGCAGGCATGTGTAGTTCAGTTGGAAGACAATTCTGGCTGAAACAAATTAGCTGGCTGCGCTCTACCTGAGTATCCCAGATAGTTAATGATGATCATGGTGGCAGGGGCATGGCAGGGCAAGAGTTCAGACTGTGACAAAAGCTACATATTCAGTTGCAGGGAAAGCAGAGCTGCAAACTCATTGGCAGTCCATAGCCCCCAAGAATGCCAGTTGCTGTTTTTCTGACCTGCTGTTACACCCAAAGTTTGCTCCACACGCTTCTTTGGTTAGCATGTATATTTAATTATATATTTTAAACAGAACCTGAATAATTGGGGAAGGCATTTTACTTAACAAATTGTTGTGCCTGCTGTGTGCAAGTGACCCCTTCCTGACATTGTCTTTCAGAAGATCAAAAGCTATTTTCTGCCATGTCATGCATTTTGCAGTCTTGCCAACTCTAATGGAGCAGACCTCTGCAAAAAGTGAAAGATGTCTGTGGGCACAGACTGGCCCGGGGCACCACAGCAATTTATATTTAGCCATAGCTCAGTGAGCTTTCCTTTGTGCACGTGTTGCTATGGCTCTCTCCTGGCTCCCTGCTCGGGGAAGAGAGACAGAGGCGTGTCGCAGTAGTTTGCATTGTTAGATGTACCTTTGTGATTAATGTCGACAGCTGAAGGTGATTCCGGCTCCAGTGAGGTGAGCAAGGGCACATCTGACATGCTTACCATCAAGTATTTGGAGTGAGGGGTTTCTAGTGTGCCAAGAGAAAGTGCCGAGTTCTGCCAATAAAGTATTTTAAATCAACAGGTTCTGACCTGACATTGCCTGGAATAGCTTCATGTGATTTGAAAAAAGGAAAAGCTGTTTCTTTGTAATCTGCCCGAAAATAACCATATCTGTGTAATTCCCAGTATGTAGGAAAACAGGAGCAAATGAAGCTGCCCTTACTGAAGAGTATGTCTATTAGTAGTCAAATCCAAATTCTGGGCCTAATAAAATGATGCCATGCATAAATTAAGTCAATATACCATGTGTAATTTAAGTCTGAATTAACGGTCCTCTTCCTCCGCCTCGCCCCCTGATTGTACATATTTTGTACATTGTTTGGGCCTTTGTCACTGACCCTAACAAAAAGCATCCTACTGTCAGTGCCAGTGGGAGCTTCCTTTCTGGGGCTAAGTAGCAGGAATGGATGGATTTTGTTGGCATCACAGTAGGGGAGAAAAGAGTTCATTCTCCCCTTCCCCCATGTGGGAGTCCTGAGAAAAGTCTCGTCACCATCTGAGATATCTTAATATATCTTTCCAGTACACAGTCTTGGTTGGCCCCATATATGGGAAGGTTGCTTCCAGTTTTAACTCTGTTTTCTGCATTAGATGAAGCCACAACTCTCACAGCCACTCTGTAATCACAGGGAAAGTGGAGCTGCACAAGGGCCTACGAGCTGTGTACCACCAGATGCCCCTGATGTGGACCCCTGGGTACCTGAACAGGGCCTTGCTGCTGATGGAGAATGTCACAACACTGGCCGGGGATGCAAAGCTCTGCAAGGAAGCTGTAAGTCACATGGCGAATGGGGCCTTCACATTCTTGTTAAAAGAACTTATGGATCTTCAGAGGAGAAAATTGTTTCTCATGGTTGTTGCTGCTACAGATCCCAGAATTTGCATCAAGGGTAGGCCTGGTCGGGATCCTGTGAAGGGCCCCCTGACAAGGGCCCCCTGGCCTTGCCTTTTGCCTTCCCCGTTGAAGCTCCATGTTCATCTGCCTCTCATATGGAAGTAATGTTGAGAAAGTTAAGCATAGGATGTCACAGCTTTTTTGCCTGCTGTTTCTCTGCAGGCGGTAGCAATGACAAGGAAGAGGAGACTGGTGGCATTGACATACTGACAGTGGTGACAATGGCAGTGGGCCATTGAGGGTGTGTCGTCCAAGTGCTCTCCAAAGCTTTGAAGCAGCACTGGCTTGGCCCTGTTTCATATTGCTTGAATGTGTCTTGAACTTGCTTGCCTTCAGTGGGATTTTCCTGTCCTTGATGAAAGAGCATCATTTCCTAAAGGACAGAAAAACACCACACTACATAAGGGCACAGTTTCTCGTCAAACCCCTCAAACTTATCTTCCTGTTTCCCCTTCTCCCATGGGAGAAAGCCAGATACACCCTGCCAGCCAGAGCTGACCTCTGCTCCATCCACTTCTTGCAGCTCCTCTTGTTGTGCCTCTGAAACTAGTAGCTGGAGAGCAGCAGAGGCAGAGGGGACTTGGCCTTGTGTCTGGCTTGTGGTTTCCTGAAGGCATCTGGGTGGCCACCGTGGGAAACCGCGTGCTGAATTATTTTGGCTCAATCAAGCAGGGCTCTTTTGTTCTTATGAGAATCAGTGAAGTATTTTATACTCAGTCAAATTGTAGTTGTAATACAGTAAGTTTCCTGGAAATAGTTTTGTGACTGCTAATCTTTCCGTAGTCATTTGTGTTGCATGGAACAGTCAGCTCTTCTGATGAAAACAGAATGTACCACATTCGTGTACAGCAAGGTGCAAGATGCGTTTCATCCTAAAGGCCAAATTCCTTTTCAAAAGCTCTATCAGCAGCTTACAGTCTAGTGTGTAAGACCAAAGGCAGGAGTGGGAGCAAACTACAAAAAATATCAGCATATTTTATTAAAGCTTTATTGCCTTAGGAGAAACACTTCAACCTTTCAGAATGGAGAGAAACTACACAAAAGCTGGGGAACCACCCGACAATTGGTCTTACGGGAATGGTGGTGGGGCCAGAGAAAGGAGCGGGGCCTCATGGGAAGCCCTGAGGAGTTGTATTGGGCCTCCTTTGGGATCAGGTTGGCATTCACAGAGTGCTGGATTTGGCTCATAGGTCTGCAGTCTGATGTAGGTAACAGCCTCACTGAGTGACTTTGAATGATGTGACATTGATACCGCTTCCTGTTCCTCTACTGTCTTGTCCAAAATAGAACTGCCTCTTTCCTATCTCAGAGACTCATGTGCTTCCAATTAAGAGTCACCTTTTCTGCATAGGCAGGTGTTTTTGTTTTAGTTATCATCAAAGTGAGAAAACGGATGACAGAGCTGAAAATCAAACAGATAAGATGATCTCACGATGCTGTTACTTTGCATATGCATCTCAGTCTCTCTCTGCCGGTATAAGCATTGTGGAATATTTGAACTGTTTTTAACTAGAGCCTCTGTGACCTTACTGGAGTGATAGTAGAATTGATTGTAACTTAAGGAAGTCTGGACTTCATCCAGAAGCTTCTCTCACTAACTTTGACCAGTTAAAATTAAAACGCCTACCAGTATAATAGTAGACATTTTCAAAGAAAAACAAAGCTCATTCTTGAATTTCCAGGATTTTCTTTCACAATAGTGAAGGGATTTTTTGTTGTTAAATCACTTGTTTGTATTGTTTTTCAGTTTGATGTATTGAGTCTACAGCCTACCATCTCAGAGACGTTGAGCCATTTTTCTGCCCTAAATCTGAAAGGGGGGAAAAAGAAAACCCTTAAAGGGAGCAGAAAAACTTGAGGCTTTGAAAAACAGGCAATTAGGGTACTGTCTGCTTGACATCCCATTGTGAACCCTCCAGCATTTTTACTCTTGGGTGTTCTATGTCAACTCATGAAGTTAAGAAATGTTCCTTTCAAAAAATAATAGGAGGTATTCTCAGAATTTAAACATGGACTCACAGACTCCATAATGATGCCCACAGGAGTAGCACATTGACCATCACTATAATTTTGACCACCATGACGCCCTGTGGTGTTTTTAACAAGCCATTTACTATCTTGCATAGATTGATGTTCTGGAGGCCATTTTGCAGTCCAGCCCCCTGACAGAAGCATCTCAAGAAGACACCAAAGAACCAGAAGAACCCCCAAAGCAAGCAGAGTCAGAAGAAACAGAGGTGTCCCGACTGCCTGAGTACCTGGACCGATTCAAGGTGTGCTGTTCCCTTCCTCCTAGACATTGTGCAGATAGGGGTCAGTTCTATTCTCTAAAGGAAAACAGCTTTATTTTGAGGTAGTGAGGCTCCCTGCAGTGATGCTTTTAGACCCAGAGATGGAATTATGTTCTTACAGCTTCACACAGGAAAGTGTCTTGCAAAAAGCCTGCTCAGCAGCCCTTTGCTTGATGCTGGGCTGCTGAGACACTGTTTTGGCTCTTCGTACATCAGACTTGATCAGCTGGGCTCCTGTTAATGAAAGTGGACTGTCACCCCGATCAGGAACTTGCCCTTTCACCATGTCTGGGGTCTGGCATCCCAGTCTCTTCTTTACCTCCCCTCAGGCTGAAATGGTTCCAAGAAAGATTCATGCTATGCTCTGTGGGAATGAGTCAATGCACAGGACTATGGATCAAGTGGACATTTTTCTCGGGAGTCCTGTGCCCATCTGTGAAAAGTGTGGAAAATGCATGTTCACACCATCGGACCACTCTTGGGCTCCTCATTGGCTCAGGAAGCTCAGTGTGGACTAGGACGGTTTCCTCTTACATGGTCCGTGGCATGTGAATGTCAGTGGTTACATGTTGGTTCTAAGTTGAGTTCTCAGAAGTCCTGGAAACTAGTAAATGAGATGCCTGGACTGGCAGATTTTGCTTTATTTTAAGCCCACCGAGCCTGCCTTTCTGATCCTTCTCCGTCATTCTGGCCTTTGCTTGGTTTATGTCCATATCACTAAAAAGGTCCTTTTTGGCAATGGCCTGGAGAAAGACTGGGAAGAGCTCAGTTCTTGGCAAGTTTGACAAGACAAACCTTACAGCTTGATCCTGTGCATTTTTACTTGGAAGTAAATCCCAGAGTTTAGTGGGACTTGTAACATATAGTGGAGTGAGGACATTCCTGGCTGAAATCTTGTGTTTGCCATCAACTCACTCAGTGGTCTTAAGCAAGCCTCTCATTCTTTGTCTCTGCCTGCCCCAAGCCTCATCCTCCCCCACCGCATAGGCGTATAGACACAGTTTCTGTCTGAAGAGAATTGGGGAGGAACTTGGAGGAGAATGGTGTATGTGATTGCATTACACAGGAGAAGAGTTTCTCTCCTGGTTATTAGTGAGGCTGTAAGATAGGAATCCGGAAGCCTGGTGTTCTGGTCAGTGCAGACTCAGGGCAGCTGGCTCTGAAGCTTGAAATACTTTTCAGTGATAAAGCATAGTTGGCATTGCAGTGATTGCCTTTTTATCAGCTGTTGTATTTTAAGGCTGTATTTTGCATCTTGGTCTTAGCATGGTTTTGCTCATGGGCTGTTGTTCCAAGTTTACCAAAACATGACCAACCTTCAAAAAAGCAACAGCCCAGCCATCCTGTCTGCCTGTCACAGGGCATCCTTAGCAGTGGACCTGATGAAATGCTTCTTTGGGAGGCCTTGTTGCTTGTCCTGGGCCAGTGCACAGCTGATTTTTATGACCCACTGCACAGTCTTTTGTCATGATATGAACTGCTTCAGCCAATCAGGGGACTTCCAGGACTAGTGGATGCAGAAAGGGGGACCTGGATCCTCCAGGGATATTCCATACCCCTTCCTTGAAATCTCAGCTTTTGTGAAAGTTTAAAAGTAAGTTTTTAGCTCTCCTGTGCAAATGGATGGAAACTATGAAGAGTGTATTTTCCTCAACTGCACAGTAAGATAGAACTCTGTCCTGCCTTGAAGAAATGCAAAGGGGCCAGACCAGCACAGAGCTGCTCATGGCCCTCCAGATGTTTTGGCTGAAACTCCTGTGTTCCCACACCATTGGCTCTGCTTGTTAGTGTTGATGGGAGCTTACACTGAAACATCTGGAGAGCCAGGAGTGGCCTGTCACTCTGCTAGACACTTAATGTTTAATATTTGTAAAATTAAATTGCATTTTAGTTGCAATACAGTTACACAATTCAGCTATCAGAATTCAGGTGATGAGTTTGCCACATGCATTCCTGCTTCTTCCAGTGTCCCCTTAAGGCTCTTCACACCAAAACTGCCCACTCACCAGGCTGTTCAAATTGCTCAAAGCAGTGCCTCTAACTCTGCACCCACAATCGCCAAGGAGTTGCTGCAGGAGCAGTATAATTAAAACTGACTCAAGAGAGTTCAGCCAGCTCTCATGGTAAGTACGTGCAGCAGAATACCCAGCAAGATTGCCCAGTTCCTTTTTCTGTTGGGTCACATTGCTCAGCAGGACATAATTTCCACTAAAGTAAACATGGGGTTTTCCTGAATTTGAATGACATGAATTATGAGACTGTGCCATCCATTTTCTTGCTTACAGACTGGTCAGATTCTTTGAAGTTAGGAGAGCGAAAGGGGTCAAGGAAAGTGTGTATGGGATGGAAAAGGACTGATTGAAAAAAAAAGCAGAACTGTTGAGGTGTGCTGTCTGTATAGCCTCAGAGCTTCAGCCAGTGTGGAGGGATTGGCGCTTTCCCCCCACAAATGAATACTTGTGCTGTGTATTTGTGGATTCATTTATATGAAATGTTAGAGGCCTCAAGAAGGTGCTTTCTCCAGCCACTGCTCTGCAACAGTTATTTCTTTATTTATCTTACTGCAAATCTCATAAATACTTTTAGGCATTATGCAATTTAAAACAATATTAATGAAGAAAATATGAATAAGATCTCAATAAAAACAATAAGATGTCATTAATAAACCTTCTGATACAATGCAATACAAATTAATACCTAAAATGACCATCTTATACAAAAGTTAAAGCCAGTTTATGGACTAAAATAATAAAACATAAACAATGGCAACATTTTAAAAACTTTAAAAGCCTGGGAGAACAGAAAAGATTGGCTCCAGAAAGATTGCACAGTGGGCTTTTTTTAATTTTTAAGTACACTTTATTGCAACAATATGTTAGATGCAGTCACATAAACAACCTTATTCATCTGTAAGTAATTGAATTAGAATATTATATCTTTTACTAACTGATCTGTTTGTATGACAAATTAGAATCTGCTACTCCAGAAATTAAGCTGATTAATTGGGAATCCCTCTTCACCATTCATTTCTGAAGAACACATTAAGAATGGGTACCAAGGTGTACAAAATTGTCTGTCTTTAGTTCTCCTCTAGCCACACTAAAGGGATTGGTGATTTTAATTGCACTGCCCTGCATCCTGGTTGACTTCTCCACCAGTGCCACTGCTCATATTCCATCAAGATATCTCCAAAATGAGAGTCCTTGGGTATTTTTCTGAATTCTAGCCTTGGTTCTAATCTAGTTCTAGTTCTAATCTTGGTTCTCTACAAGCATTGCAACATTTTTTTAAAATAAAGCATTTTCTCATTCTTCCCAGTAAACAATGAAAACAGTAATAAGGTTTCATTGTGTTTACCTTTGTTGTGTTTCCATACCCTGTAACCACTCCACTACTTCTGCCAGAGCAATGTATTGTTCAGACAGAAGATCTACATATATTCAAGTGACCTTGAACTGCATTTTCTCCAATACGCAACAGATAACTCATTATTAACTTCTGTGGGGTGTGGATGCCGTCTATGAACTGTTTTTTATGCTATGTCAATAGACCTTGTTCATACAGACTTACAGGGTTGTGAGGATCATATTTTTGCTCATTACTCTTCTGATATATTTTGGTTTGTTTCCCAAATCATCTTGCTTCCCAAGTTATTTCCATATTCTTCCTGAATAACAGTCTTATAGGTGACAGAGTGATCCTTTTTTAAAAAACTAAACTCTTCAATGGAGTAATTTTCAAGTTTTGTAAGTGCTCTTACCCTAACCCAGTACTATACAAGTTAGTTTTTTGAAAACAATTGGCAGTTTTATCTTTTAATTGTCTTACTGAAATTGGTTTTCCTCTTATAAATAGATTTCCAAGCCTATAAATCCCAATTTCTTTCCATTGCTTATATTGTATGCATCTTGAAAATTAAATTTGGGGTGTTCCAAAATGAGGAGCAATGGGAACACAGGAGGATCTCAGAATTTCATATATTTATGCCATGTTTGAGCCATTTCCCTAGGGAAAGTGTTGTATATTTTCACTATATTTCTTGGGAGTTTCAGTAAATATAAACAGGGGACAGTAAAATTAATATCACCAGATCCTTCTGTCTGAACCTATTCAGTGTCAAGAGCCAGGGTTCCTCCTTCATGCATTCAAAAGCCACAGACCGTTTTCCTTACCTTTAATGACCAAAAAGCACAAAACACCCAGAATGAATCTCTAAGCACACACAGAGCAGTTTGTTGAGCCCAGTCTAGTAATCACCTCCAGGAACTCTCCTTATGAACATGCCTGGGCTCCATCCCTTTGGGAGGGCCCTTCAAAAGCAAGCATGCCTCCACTCTGCATTTCAGTTTTTCATGTCATGGGACAGTCCAGCCTGTGTCTGAGAAACTCCCATTTTCTGGGTCCCATCCTGCCAGCTGTACATCTTGGTTATTCGCAGGAACTGCCTGCCCACCTGGGGACTCTGGCCTTGACATACATGTCTCCACTTCTCTCATCTCAGAGTCCTGGCTTGGCCCATCTTCCCAGACACCCCCCCCCCCTTCTGCTTCCCATTCAAATTCTTCTGAAGCCCAGCAAGCAGTCCTTGAGAATGAGTGCCCAAAGCAGCCATCTTTCTCAAGCCAAACATGCAGGGGCGTTATTCATTTTTATGAGTTTAAGAGCTTGAGCACTCTGAAAAGCTGCATAGCATTTTATTAAATTTGTACTGCGAATGTTGGAGCAGTTCTGTATTTTACACTGCTTAGGGGATACTGAGTGAACTTCTTTTGGGGCAGCATTCCAGAACTGGAGTGGGGGGGCATCGCTGGAAAAGCCCTCTCTTTCATGTAGGGATTTATAGCTCAAAATCAACACTTTGAATTTGGCTTAAAAACATTATTAGGAGCCTTTGCAAAAAGAGAATTCCAGCTGGAATTCTCACAGCCATATTTTGTGTTGGCTGAAGTTTCCAGACTGTCTCAAAAAGACAGCCCCACATACAACATATTACAGTAATCCAAATGGGAGGATGCCAGGGCATAAATAGTTGCCAGTTAGGCGATTCACCTCCAGATAAGGTTGTAGCATGGAAGCCAACGGAAACTCGTGCCAGGCACTCCGTGCCATAGAGCCTCTGATGACAGCGGGGGATGCAGAATCCCCACAAGCTTTGCCCCTGGCCTTCTGGAGGGGTGCAGTTCTTGCTAGAAAACAGGTGGACTCCCCGTCATCCAATCTGAAGGTCCATTCATGGGCAGTTCCTCCTTGCCTGGCTTGCATTTCAGTTGGCTACACAACTGCTGTAATGTATCATTTGTATAAAATTACATATAGAGCTTACCCCAGTTATCCAGCAAGGATACTTTGAGGGATGCAAAGCTACCTGGGATGTAAGTTCAGTGAGTGAGTAGGCTGATGGAGATCAGTTTGGGTTACCAACTGTAAGGCCTACAAAGCAAAGCCTGCTACACAGCAGTTTCTAGACAACTGCCACTCTGCTAATACTCCAGTGTCGCACAGCACTCCAAAAAAGCTCCCCATTTCAGGGCATCTGTTTGGCTTTGTTTTTTGTGTACCTGGCTTCATACACAATCAGTTACCAGGGACCAAAAAAGAAAAATGAAGGATTTGGTCAAGAATATGTCAAAGCTGTTCTTACCCTGTTGAAATTGCCCTGAGCCCAGTGGATGTGAGGACCAAACAGCAGGGAAGTGGTCAGACAAAGTCTTTGCTGTAACCCAGAACTAAAATTTCAGCCCCGTAGGTTCACTTACATCCTGTATCGGATGGAAGTTTGCAGGCGAAGATCAGGGAGTGTGCAAGCACTGGTGACAGCAGAAATTTCAATCTGGCAATTTTGTTCTAAAGAGAACAGCCTCGTGGAGGTCAAAGGGCTTCTTCTTCTCTTTCCCAGAGGACCTCACACACTGCAGCTGTGCTTTGCAGAGAGCCAGGGTGGTGCAATGGTTGGAGTACTGGGGAGACTCAGGAACAACCCAAGAACTTCACACTACCCATGAAGCTCACTGGGTGATGTTGGGCCAGATGCTACAATTTAGTGTAACCTATTCCAGAGGGTAGTTAGGAGGATAACTTGGCAATGTAGAATGGATGTACTGTGTAGGCCAAAGATGTAAACTGGTAAACCTTGGGATCCTCAAAGTGTTGGACTACAATTCCCATCACCCTAGACCTTGCTGGCTGAAACTGGTGAGTGCTGAAGTCCAACTATTTCTAGATAGTCACATTAATGCTGCTGCTTGAATAGATAAAATGTTAATAAAGTAAAAACTGAGTCAATTGTGAAATCCTTGAGTTAGGGCTGTTGGGGTCTACGGGCTGCAGCCTAAGGGTAATTGTTCCTTGTGGATCTTCATGACCTTATTAAAAGTCAATGCTAGTTAAAGCTCTATAAAATACACTAACCCTTATTTTCATCAAAAGGCCAGTCTCAAGGTTTTGAGACAAAAATACTCTTTCTGGTAAGGGGGCAAAGAATTTGAAAAAGCAGAACTTGGAATTTGCTGGCTGGCAACTCGTCTCCCTCCTAGGCCAGTCCTCCTCCTCCTCTCCAGGAGGATCCTCCATTAGGGCAATTAATTTGCCTTTTGTCTGGGGAACATCAAGCTATCCAGTAAAACTTCCATAAGCGCAAATGGCCCTGTGTCTTAAAGCACTTAAGAGAATTAATATTTTTATGACTCATCGGGGTGTGTCACAAGAAATACTGCACTATATATAAAAGTGGAACCCTGATTTGATCTATGGCCCGCCTGTCTGGCCACTTTCTGCCTGGCTGGAATGGAATGTCCCCACCTCCAGCCCCCCACCAGACTCTCGCTCTGCACGCACAGGGCCGGGCTTAAAATCACGTGAGCCATTAGAAAAAAGGCCGTGGAGGAATGCCCAGGCAATGGCAAAGGGGACTCCTGGGATCTGTTTAGTATGCCATTAGTACAGGCCTTTTTATATCACTGCCATCTGTTGAGAGGAAGGTTAGCTGAAGCAACCCAGGGCAACTCCTTGCATCAGCTTTTAGTGGGGAGGAAGGCTAAGGCATTTAGATTGCTGGCTGACCATTCATAATTTCTTCGTGTAAAGTAGGGGGCGGGGGTTGTAATAATGATGTTTCTCAATCATTGTGCAAACTCAGACCACCCCAGCACTTAGCAGAATTAAAAACTGATTTTTTTTTGTCTCTGTTTTGTTACTGTTAAATAATAAAAATCAAGCCTACAGATTCTTTTTTCCCTTTTCGGTTTTGCTTTTGCAGCAGGGTGGGTGGATTAGAGGATTGCTTCTTTATTGTGGGCTGGCATAATTTCCCCAAACAAAATGCAAATCAGCTGTACTGTGCCTACTTGCAGAATTTCACATTCCTATTGCAGCTAAAAAGAAAAAAAAGATGTTATTTTGCAACTGGTTAATGAGCTGCCTTTCTTTCTCTCCCACCCCCCTCCCACCCCTACTATGACAGGAGCTGAAATCTAAACTACAGTTGCTTGGCAAGGTGGAATCTGCACAGTTGTCAACACTGACCACCCAGCTTGTCGAGGAAAAACTGCCAGCAGTTGAAGTAGAAGACATTGCAAAATACATGGAGAAGCTGAAGGAGTGGGGGCAGGAGCGAGCAGTACTGCTCGAGAGAGAGCGAATGCTGAGAGAAAAGGCCAGACTGGAGATGGAAGCCCGGAATGCAGAAGGAGCATCCGTTTAATATTCCTGACTGATAGACTTCTGTCATGCTACAGATACTCCTGGAAATAAAAGAGAAGATTGAGCTATTACAAAGTGGGCTAACAGTCGTCATGCTTGGTAGCCTTGGCTGTATGCAGATTAAAAACCTTTCCATATCTGACTTACATATCCACCAAGTAAGAGTGTTTTCCTCTGCTCCCACCCACCCCTTTTATATCTATAATTATACTTTTTCTTCTGAAGAGCTCCATTTTGTCTCTGTTGTGTCTAGGAGCAACTGTCTGTCATCCAAATGATTCATTTCTCAAATGAGCTTGGTGGGAGAGCATTCAATCAGTTGCCACTGTCCCTGCCTGATATTACGCCATTAAAAAAGGAAGAAAGCTTTCCAACCGGACTGCAATTCTTTGTGTACTTGCTGGGCCAGGGGATCCCAAGTAGCTCTTTTTTCCTAGGTTTTCTAATAACTGTTAGCCTGATTAGTTAAAAAAATGAAATTTGTTTATTTAGCAGCAGGGGACACATTATACCAAATCAGACTGGTGGCCCATCTAGGTGAAAACACTGGTCAATCAAGTATTGCCTTTGGCTGACAGAAGCTGCCAAGGTCTTTCCAGTTGTGCTACCCAAAATTCTTTAAATATGGATGTGGGGAATTGAACCCAGAACCATATATTAAGTAATGGTCTGTTCTCAGAAGCTCTCCCTTCCGTGCCTGGCTTGGAAGCTTTCCACAGTCATTTTACTGGCTGCTTTGGGGACATGTTTAAATGTTCCTCTACTATCATCTACTATCACAGAGGGCACAACTTTTTTGGTTCCAGTGGACTGTGTCAGCCAAGAGCCACACATGCACTCCTCTGTGTGCACACATTTCCCCACATGCACCTCCTGTCACTTTCTGCCAAGATCTAGAATCCACTGGGGATTGGGATGGATTTAAAAGTGTTGGCTCCTCTGCAGCACAGCTGACTGGGGACAGTGCGTGAGGTCCTGCCAGCTTTGTAGGTTGCACAGGAAGCAACCAAAGATCACAGGTTGTACACATGTGCTCTAGCAAGAATAGATTATATTATTTTGCAGCCACCTGACTCCAAACAAGCAGAAAACAAGCGAGTCAAGAAAGCAAGACTCCAAACAAGCAGAAACTTTAAGATGATATAGGAATATTCTATGAAATGCTTTGCAGATCAATTTCTACCTTTTTCATTAGTTGCTTGCCCCCTGTTCTGGCTGTGCTTTACAGTCTACATCCCAATCTCTTGTGAGCAACTATAAATATAATCTTGTAGTCTATCTGGATTTATTCTTACATTTTTGTCTTACATTATTCTTACATCCCATTATTACATTATGGGATCAACTTGGTTGCCTTCCGACAGTGTTACTGGACTGGGGTAGGATGGAGGGCCTGGGTGGAGGGGTGGGAGGGGCAGCTCTGCCATTACTAAAATGTGAGAACCAGTATTCAGCCATCAGAACTGGGCCACAGCAATCTTGTTTTTATGTGTTTTACAAGCTGGATCATAGAAGTTGCTAACATTAAGGATGTCTTCTTTCCCTTCAATGCTGACTTCCGCCTGCCTGCATGCATTTTCAATCTTGCATTCCTAACCTGCAAAGTTCCTTCTCTTAAACATCCAAGTTGCCTCTCCTGATATCTCCCTAGAAAATGTCACAAGATAATGATCTGCCTCTGTCTGTCCAGCACCATCAGGTCCTCTGTCTCATATGCTCTAAGCATCTCCTTCACGCACCTCTCCGTTTATTTTCTCCCTGCATCTGAGCACGCTACATCACTACAGCAGACATGGGCAGGGTCCCAGTTATTCCTGATGTCTGATTAAAACCAGTGAGAAGTAGGCATTGCTCCGAAACACTTTCCTTCTTGAATGACAAGACTGTTTCAGGAAGAAAAAAATATTTTCCAGTTTACAATCAAATGCATACCTGGCACAGACATGCCCCATCTGCAAAGAATTCAAGCTATGTAGTAGAGTTTTCTTCTTTGAGTGTGTTGGCTTATAAGTAGCTGCTGCATCTTTTGCCTAGCAGATTACTCTTCCTTATTCTTTTGAGATGCAGATTTATTTATGTTTGTTTTTTTTACTATAAGGAAGTCGCAAAACACAAAGTAGCCTTTATCGTTGGTGCTCATATAGGAATCCTTAGCACTGTCTTGTAATTCTTCGCTCAGGGGCTTCCAGAGGACTCTGGAAGATTTCTAATGGCATTTAAAAGCTGCACACAGTTTTCAGAAATCCCCAGCTGCCCTGCCTACCCTAGCAGCTTCACCCTCCAAGTAGGGAGATGCATGGACAGGACCACATCTCTTTACTGAACAGGATGAACAAAATCCCTCACACAGCAGGAGCTGGCAAAGCTCAGCACTCACTGCTATTTCTGTGAGGCTTTTAAGGGGAAGGACATCTGTACTAAATAAACAAGCTAATAGGCAAGACGTTTTTGCCTGTCAAAGCTCAGTGCCAGTTCACAGGTTACCAAATCCCATGATGTGATTCCCGTGTCACTTCTAAATAGTTGCATGCACATTCATCAATTTACACTAATCTGCCCAAAACAAAGGTGACCACTTCCTGCATATTGAACAGTGAGGAAATTCTATTGGCTGTGTGTTTACACAGAAGTAATTCTTACTTTCTTCAATGGGTTTTGCTCCCAGGTAAGTACATACAAGTTTGCAGTCTGCATTTATCTTTTCCTGCATCTTTTTCTAAATTTTAAAAATTCGTTATTCCTTCTAATTATTAAGGAAAAAAATTCTGTACATGAGGAGCAGAGAGATAATCAAGGAACATGCTGTAGAAAGAATCAGCATGTTGTATAGACAGTATGTCCCTGTAGCAATTGCAGAAAGGTGCTAGGTGCCAAAAAGGTAAAAGTCTGGCACAAAAACACAGGATGACCAAAATAAAAAGGCAGTGTGTATGTGCCCATTTGTCTTAACGGAGCCCAAATCCCAAGGACGTGTGTGCTTGTAAAAAGCTTGTATGGGCAGGAGAGAGGAGAGCATTTGATTCTTGGGAGGGGGGAATGCAAGTAGAAAGATCCGGGGTGGGGTGAGGGCAGCAGGAGTGGAAGTACATGCCAGCCAATTCAAGGGAAGCGAATGCAACGGGTTTCAGAGCCTCTTCACCTTTATTTCTGCAAGTGCCCATGCATGGCAGGGCCGGTGGGGCCACTGGCCTCGCAGATTCAGGGTTTCAACCGAGTGGGCCACCCCTTAACATTTCCTTTGAATGATTCTCCTTTGTATTCCAAATGTGTATCTTACAGGGCATGTTTTGGAAGGGCAGATGCATAAGCCTATGTTTAAGTGTCCTGCTTTAGAATGCCCTTGTGATCTAGTCTGTAGGCAGCTCTAAACTGGGAATGTTCTGTATCCATAAAGAGGTTAATTTTGATCTGCATATGAAGGGTTATTTTTTGTGTTTCATTTGAAATGCAAACCATTATTCAAATGCACAGTAGACACAAATAGTTTAATGGATAGGTAAGCGAATCTACTCCTATTTCCTTTTTTATTCACAATATTTTCACTTCCATAGAGAATATCAGTGTGCAAGATAGACAACAGGGAAATTACACATTTATTTTCTTCCCTCCCAGATCAATGCTACAGTAGCATAGCTGGACAAATGACAGCCTGTTGACCTTCAGTACAGTGGACAACAGTAAGATCCAGCCCCCAGATTGTTGCAGGACACAACAGCATGAATGGGATTCAGATTAAGCCAGATCAACTGTGCTGGTGAAAGCAGACTTCCGTGCTCACTCCACAGCATTCCTTCCAGACCCCTGAAAACATTATAAAGAATCAGCAGACCATGCTGAATGGGGTGAGCTGTTGATGCTCAGGACAGAAAGAGATGCTTCAAGTCAGAGCGTCCTGCTGCAGACACAGTGGCTCCTCTTGTGAAAAGTCCTAGAAATATAGGGAAAAATGACTCAGAAGGGGATTCCTGGGCCATCTAGCCTGCCCGGCCGCCTGGCCCAGCCAGCTCTGCTCACCTAATCCCCAACATGTTCTTGTCCAGGTTATGGAGATGCTAGATCCAGCCCTCTAGCAGCATGACTCCCCTACCCCACTGCCGCATGCCTTTGAGATAAACTAAGAATAAACTTCTAACTTTTCAGATTTCACATTAAATAATTTCACATGCTTTTGGTCATCAGACACTAAGAGCCAAGCCAGTCCAAGAAATGGAACAGGACTGCAGTCAGCATGCAGCTGGTCTGTTGCACAATTTATGTATACCTGTAGATCACTGTTCTTATTCTGGAAGGAGCAGCACCATGAATGCATAAGCAGACTCACATGGAACTGGCTTGGGACTCAAGGGGAAGGAGGAAACCTAAATGGCTTCGGCGTGCTGCTCTTTGCCCACTAGTTTCATTATATACATTGAACTTGCGGGGAGAGGGTGGGGAAGTAACTCATCCAGAAACTCTTGGAGATGCAATTTTAAAAAGACTGGATGCAGGCCTTACTCGCTTCATGTTGGATGTATTGGTGGATTATTTGAACGAATGATCATAGCCACAGAAGACTGAACCTTTCTTATCCACAGACTTGGCAGCCATGCTACTTCTTCTATGGCAAACCTAGCTGAGCGAGGCCTATTCATACACTTGTTTACAGAAGAGCTCCTCAAATGTTACCATCGTGTCCCCTCCTTTAATTGGAGTGTCCCTATGCATGGCTATAAGTAATAGCAATTGGACTAATTAATATTTGGGATGTTATGCAAATCCAGTTTTCTTCATGGATGAAGCAAGACTATAAATGCTGAACTGGGACGTGTTGACCAATAGTGAGAATAACATTACTCCTTGGAAATGTAAAATTATGCTCTGAAATTCAGAGCAACCGGCTAAGAGAATAATTTTTAATATGTTATGCAAGCTGCTTTTAAATAGTTCATTACTGGGATGAAAGATCCTGTCATCTGCAAGAGCTGCAACCAAATGGAATGTGTACCATTTGATCCTAGATTCAGACCACAATATTTCAAGCAGATGACTTCTTTTCCTTCCTTCTGAATCCTCCGTTTCCCAACCCTGTGGAGCAGAATTGGAGGGTGCCCAGTGGGACCGCAGCGAGATGTGGAAGTCCCATTGGCCTGGTAGTGGTACAATGCTGGATCCAACCCGATGTAGGTTTTCTCCTCTGCAACAACTGCTCTGGGCTTTAGATTGCAAAACAGAGCAGGGTTCCTGCAGCCCTAATTGGTGACCTTCCCAATCTGCATTCAGCCATCTCATTGTGCTTTTGGATGGTGAGATAGGTACAATAAGGATCCACATGAGTTAAATGTTTTAAGTTTCCTTTCCCAGTTCAGTATTTGCCCATCTTATTTTTAATAATTCTGCTGTTGCATCACACAAAGTGGGAGCAATAGGTTAGGCGAGATTACAAACTGCCCAGCTTTGCAAGTTAGGTTTATCACCTTAGTGGTGTCAGCTGAAATCCACAGCAGACACTTACTCTAGAACAGCTCTGTTCACTTTTCTGGAGTAAACCAGGACATTGCAGTGTTTGTGCACCTGCCACACAAGAAGCATAGCCTTCATTTGCTTCTCTGATCTGCACAAAGGCCAATTTAACCCGGGATGCTGACGTGATGAGCCAGGTGCCTGAGAAACCCAGAGTTTGCAATGATGCTGGCCGCGGCTGCCTCCCACCACCTTTGACTCCAGTTGCTGATACCCACTGGAGCATTTGCTCTTGCAGCCCATTTCAATGGATGCAGGTTGAAGAAAGTGCTAACATCAGATTTCTGTATCATGGTATAGAAGGACACAAATCATACCAACACCACTTGAACTATTTTTGTATTTTATTGTGGAACTGCGCTTGTTTCCTTTACATCAAATATCCTCAACGGAAGAGGGGATATTGCACACAAATATCATAAAAGCACTACATATTACTTTCACTGGAAACTAATTTTCTACGTTAGGTATGACTGGATAGAATAGAGGTGATGCAGGATTATAAGACATAAACCATACACAGCTGCAGACCGACACAAACAAGACCATTCAGAACCAGAGAGAGGAGTGTGTGAGGTGCTTCTCAGCCAGCAACAAGACTTTCTCTCCATGGCTTGGAAGAATAAATGGCTGCATGCAAACATGTGAAAAGCATCCTGGAACTTCAGAATTGCGCTTTTACTGGTATGATTACAGCCCAGTCTTGTATGAATATAATGGTAGCGCTGGGCATTTGGAGCTCCTAAGCTACTTTAGTGCAGAGAAGCATTCCCCCCCCACCTTAAATGTTCAAGGTTTTGATGCTGCATTTTTATTATTTTGTAAGATCACAACAAACAGATTTTTAATAGCAAACATCTTTTAGCAAGGCAAGCAATGCAATTGCAAATGCTTTTGAAGAACTGCTTGTACCTAGACTGATTTTCATGGTTTGTTCAACTATCAAGTGAAAAGGTGAGCTTTAATTTTTTTTTTTAAGTATAAACATTATTTTCCCATTGCTAATAATGCCAGACCACACAAAATTACTATTGTCCTGTAAGCAAAAAATCTCTGGCTACGTATGGACAAAGAAAGGGCCTATGACATAAAACTTGAAAATGCAGAATAACTCCTTGGGGTGGCAGTTCTTGAGGCAATTTCCCTAAGCAAAACTGTTCTTCTCTATCCCATGTTGCAAGGTTTCTAAACTGCTTAAGCTACTGAAGACAGCTAAACACATTCATATACACATTTGGATCCAATCACCATAGTATGTCCAAAAATAAAAAGAAGCATGAGAGAGAAAAAAAACAAAAGAGGGAATTACAAGGTAGGAATATTTGTAATTAAACCCACCCTGGGAAATGAAAAGGCATGCAAAAGAAGGTCTGTGTTAACTTGGAGATTGGGCTGAGATCTTAACTAAACCATCACTGAATTTCCATCAGCAGTATAGTACTATCATAAAGGCCATGATTAGGGGAATGTTACCAATGGGTAATGCCATTTTCTAGAGTGGTCTTAACACCCAAATATTATACATTAGAATTAGACTAATCCATATTGAACCATGCTTCTAGTAATCTGTGCTGAGCAACAGAGCTCAATATCAATATCCGTGGTACTTTCTGATTGACTGTCGCTAAGCTAATTGTGTCCGGCTGCGACTAACACAATTAGGTTAGTTGCACAGGCAAGAAAGGCATTAATTTGGTCAGGAGGAGCTTCTTTTGAAAAAGAACACCAGAACCAACTGCCAGTTAAAACTTTCTATGTGTATGTGTGTCGGCATGTGTGAAGAAAATGAAGGTGTTTGCAAAATACTCGGCCCACTTTCCCAGTTGTATTTGGAAACCTGAAGCTGGGAATCTGGGCTTGGAGCCAAAGATACTGCTGCACTGGGGAAAGCATCATGCTGTGTGCAGGGCGGGTGTTAATTTCACCTGTGCTGTCTCTCCTTGGATCCTCCAAAAGCCCTTCCCAAAGTTCTCTGTCCATTACAATCCAGCCTGGGTGCTACAGAGGAGGAACAGGGAATGAAGCAACATGGCTTCTGCACAAGGGCATCTTTGTTTCCAAGCCTTAGGGCAGTGTCAACCTGCTGCCCTCCAGTTCTCACAATTCCCAGCCAATAGCTCGGCTGGCTGGGAAATGGGAGTTGCAGTCAAGTGCATCTGGGGAGACCAGTTAGGGCAAGACATCACAGAGAATGCCACATTTTCATACAGGAAAAGGTTAGTTGGCATCCGAAAGCTGAATGAGGCTATACAAGACTTCTGAAGCACTGAAAAAAGGCTGCAGCTGACACAAGAACTTGATTACAGTTTTGCTTCCACAATTCTGTAAGAGTGATAAAGAATGTGCATAAAGTGAAGGAGTGTTAAGGCCAAATTCGAACCCATTAAGGCTGCAATCCTATACAGATTTACCTGGTAATAAGTCCCATTGAACTTGGTGAGGCTTACTTCTGAGCAGACATACACAGAATTGCGCTGTTAAGCTGCTTTTAAAAAAATCCGCTTTAACAGGACTGCTGATGTACATAGATTAGTGGGGGACAGCAATGACCACTTCTCTTTTCAACATACAAAAGTATATACATTTAATATTGCTAGTTAAGACAGAACAACAAAAGAAACCCCAATCCTGTATTTTGTTAAAAGAAGCAGCCCTCCTAAAAACAGACTAGATGGTAACCTCCACAATGCCCTTGCTCCCTTTTAACTACATTCTCCATTTTTGGTCAAAAGGTTTGTGAAATATATACTTGTGCCGCAAAATGCCATGGTTTGGATACAGGCTTAGTAATACTTAAGAGCAGACACACTGAAACCAATGGGATTCAAATCAGCGATGTCTGAGTAATGTCAATGCCATCTACTCTTAAGTAAGAGTATATCTGGATCCAAGCCTTTAAATTCTGCTTAATTACAAAGTGAGGGAATAGCAAGAAAAACAAAGTCTACAGAATTGGTAGCTCGATGGAATATTGCACTGGTAATTCGCTGGACTTAAATTCAGTCCCTGGATACCTACTGGGGAATAAACCTCACTAAACTCAGCATGACTTGCTTCTAGGTAAACATCCATAGTAGCAGACTGTAAAAGACGCACTGACTGTGTTAGCAGAGCAAGCTGAATGAGCGTGGGCAACACAACTGTGCCCTGCACACCGCCACAGTCATGTAATGTGTGGTTGGCAATATTGTGCTGGTTCTTCCAGTGTGGACAAATGTGTTGTCGAGGTCACTGCATCGTCAGATGCTGTGCTACAAAAAGGCTACATCTGAGCTAGGAAGTGGGCAAGCAGGAGTAATGTCCGGTCCTATGACAACATGTGGGCATTTGAGTTTCAAGGTACCGGCGGCTTCCATATGGGCAACACAGCAGAGCAAGCTTCCTCCACCTGTCCTGCACAGGAGTCTGTTACAAAGCACTCTCTGCTATGGTGCAAACCCATTTTAAGGATCAAGATGATCGCATTTGAGAAGAAATGTAGCATAGGTGATCATGACTCAGTAATTTGCTTCTTTCCACAATACATTTCCCTTTGCCATGCACGCTACAATCATATGAAAATTTAAAAGACGTTTTAAGACAGTTAGTGCTTCCACAAATATTGTTCCGATCAGAGGGAGTGCAAGAACACAAGTGTTTGAAGGGCCAGGGGAAAATAATAAATAAAGCAGCATTGCTAGAGATGTCGAACAAAAATAAAATATTAGAATTTTTAACTGCACAAAACATGTAACAAACAATATTTCACAGCATTAACTGGGCTACACAGCCCAAATTAAAAGGGGTCAGAAGTAGGATTAAAAAAATATAAAAATTAGCAGTGCAAATGCACATCTATCAAAACAAAAATAAACAATGTTAACCATTGAAATAAATTATACAACCAATAGAAAATGAAAAGCTGCAATTGTCCACTACTTAATGGAACCAAAGCCTTCCACCAAGATGACCATCGCAGAACAATGCAAATTCCTATTATAAAGAAATGAGCTTATGTAAATTCTGTACAAAGCCACAAAGTAAAACATAATGGGTATAATATGTAGTGAGAACATGCTGTCTGGTCCTTAAAGTATTCTACCAGCACCAGTTTCTTTTCTATGAGGTCAGAGGCTCTAGCATTTTCTACCTCTTTGAGCCCATCTGCCTTAATAGCAGGACAGAAGTTTTACACAGGCTGTCTGTACTCTGCAATTGTTCAATTTTTTTCTCCAGTATAACCCAAATTCTGTGATAAAGACTGAATTCTGTAATCTATATAAATTATGCATATCTGCATGCTTTCTCTTATTCTGTATAATTTATTCTTCTACTGTGGGGCTTGGAGAGGCGTATTAAACTGTATTCTCTGACTGCCAGAAATCCTAATCCACAACTCTTTTGGTTTCTCCATGCAACCTTACAGGTAAGAAACTTTTTAATTCAAAGAGGGATGAGATTCTTAGAATACTGAATTCTGACACCTAAGCTACATTTTGTAACTCTTCTATGCTCTCATAGAATTAAACATACACACAGCCTTGGTTTTCCTTTTGGAAGGAATCTGCAAATATTGGAAAGACAAACTGCTTGCCTTCCTTGAGCTAAATTTACTCATAACAAAACTAGGAGAAAGGAAACCTAGGCAGAGCTGGCCTGAGCCACTGGGTTGCCCCATCCTGCTGTGCTAGTCAGTTCGAGAAGGACATTGCAGGACTGGCTGCAATGTCACAGAAGATGCTGCACCAAAACTCCGAATCGCAAACTGTTTCCATTGGTACCATGAAAAATATTGCTGCCGCCAATGACTGCTTGGGTTACGTGTTCCCTTCAGCCAGCCCAGTATTCAGGCTGACCCCCAGTTAAAAAAGAAGCCAACCAGCCTTTCAGTCCTCCATCCTTTGATCAGTAACACTTAAGACATATTGTTAGTGTGCTCCCTGCAACATAATTCTTGGCAGTTAATGGTTTTCAATAAATACGCTACTGCAGTATCTTACTTCATTCTCACCAGAACTCCAAAACAACATTATGCATTTGTCTTACAAAACTACTAAAAAAAAAAAAAAAAAAAAAGCCTTTATCCGAATTTTTTTCTTTGCAATTTCCTGGAAATGAAACTTCAGTTTAAAAATTCATCTATTAAAAGTTCACACACAGCTAAAAAAATTCTTCTGTACATTTGTTCCCATTATCACTCTTAAATCAAACAGTCAAAAGAATGTAAGACAAAGAAGTCTTCCAAAGACTATACAGATGTGCAAAGAACCTTTTTGCAACATTCTGTATGTTTGTTAAGTTTTGCATTTCTGGTACTGGGCACCCTTTCTTTCATACTTCTATGAAGCAGAAAATAGGAGGAAAAAAACCAATCTTTCAAAAATGGCTTGCAGTTCAGGTGCACCAATGAGGTGTTCCACTGACATACATAATTCATAGCACCAAGCTGTTTGACCCATCAGAAAGGTTTCCAATAGCACACATGCACACGCATATTTCTGTACTGGTGTAACTATAATCCTACACAGATGGTTTATAAACTTGCTATCTTGCATTAAAAAATAAGTGCATCAAGTATCTTTTTACATTCAAGTCACTTTCTAAGGCAAATTGTCTACCATAGGTACTCCCAACTGCTTTGGTATTTTGCTTCAGTAAACTTGACTGTGACTTGGGTGTTTCAGCATGCAAGTTTGTCAAATTTAAGAGGATTAGGTGGATCTTCCCTGGGAGCATGCCTTAGACCGACAGGTTTGCATGTTAAAGTGAATGAGGTTCAAACTACTAGCATATATTGCCTAAGAGAACTGTGTTAAGCGAGTATGAAGCACTGAAAAGTGAAGTTGCTAACAGCAAGTGTGTGTTTTGGATTTCATGTCCCTTCAAAGCCATGCTCAGTTTCACATAATTTTCTGGCTAATTGTCACTAAATTAAAAACTCCCACTCTTGTGATAACTCCAACTGAGGAAAACTATGTCTTTCTTTTTAAGTGACAGCAAGACTACAGGAAGCAATGCATTGATTGCTTTGAGAGTAATGCAAAATGGATGAGTTTATTCTCCTCTACCTCCCTCTCTCTCTTTCTCTCTCTCTCTCACTTTCTCTCTCCCCTCCCGCCCCCCTCCCTGTGTTTCCCTCAAGGGCAAATGCCCATAACCTGGCAGAAGTCAGCAGTGTTTGCTAGTGCATGGTTTTCAAGTGTTCAGTGGAGATGAACCTGGATCTGCAGTTTGTGCAGTAATCTGAACCCTATGGTGGGAATACTGTTATTTCCCATAGCTATCAGCAAAGACCGGAAAAGAAAGAAAGATTAGTGACTTGCATCACTGTGATACAGTATAGCATTTGGCAGGAATATATAGTTCAGCAGCTGAATTAGATGGATTACATTTTTAAAAAAGGTGTTTTCAAATTGAAGACTTTCTGGAAATAAAGTTTAAAGTTGTGAAGCATTGCTTTTTTTTTTTTTTACAGTTCAATCTTGCATGCAGGGAAAGATTCATCTTGCATAACAACAGTGCTGCTGCTTGCCAAAACCATGATGTTAAGGTCCTGTTGTTTCTCATGGGTCTCTTGATACCATTCCCGCATCACCTCTGAATCATGAGTTGGGATTAGGGTCACCTGCAATACAAGAACAGAGGATACACCATCACCACCACCACCGCCTCCCTTTTTTCATTCAGGGAACTCAAGGAGGTTTACGTAATCCTCCTCCTCCTCCTCCTCCTCCTCCTCCTCCTCCTCCTCAATCTTATCCTCATAACAACTCTGTAAGTAAGTTGGGTTCAGAGTCTATGACTGGCCCAAAGTCACCCAGTGAGAGGTGGATCTGCTAAATCCCATGCCATTGGAACAGCCACTGACCTAAAGCAATCCTATGCCTGTTTTCCTGAGAGGAGACAAGTGAACGATGCCTCCTAGACAGCAACAGATTGCCTCCTTCATGCCTGCAGACATGAGCTTCAAGCACTGAGAAGATTTGATCTTGAATCTCCTTTTTCCCAGCCCCAACCATGGTGGAAAGGTTCTCCTGTAAGATTGCAACGGTGACCTCAAGAAAGAAGTCAAAGAAGAAGAGGAGGTATGATGGTGGGCAGGAGTGAAGAGACTACAAAATGCAGTCTTTTCTCCACCCACGGAAAGGTAACTTGGACTTGGAGACTATTTGCATTTTAAATAGAAGAACACAGAGGATGTTGCCTTCTTGGTCCTCTCCTGCCCAGTTCCTGCCAGAGCTCTCGGTCTGTTGTAGTGTGTAATCCACAGGACTCTAACATAAGTTGTTTAAGGGCAACTGAGGGTGGAATTGGACCTGTGACATGGCGGCATCCAGCAACAAGTGGGACGGGGTCAATTTCAAGGAACAGAAGCAATGAGCAGGAGCGGTGGTAGAATCTGTGTTTATACTACATTTTTGAAATCACCTGGAGAAGCTGCAATCCTACATTCAGGTTCCTAAAAGCAAGCCCCATTGAACTCAGCAGGACTGAATTTCAAGTACACCTAAATAGCAACCTTCCCCAACCTGGTCCTCCCCAGATTTTTGGACTACGCCTCACAGGTTTCCTGACCATTGGCCATGCAGGTTGAAGTCCACAACCTCTGGAGGAAAGCAAATTGGGAAAGGTTGATATATAGGATTGTACTGCAAATACAACTTTTATTGGGCTAGGTGGAGAATCACCATGTTTTAACTTTGTGCAGATAAAGATTGAAGACAGGCTGTTTTCAAATACCAAGCACCTCTTGAAATCTGAGTTTAATAGGTTTCCCCCCATCTCCTTGTCCCTTTTCTCCCTTCCGATTTTAATTCACTAACAACAGGGCAGCCTACCTGCATGTTGTTTCCCCACTGAGCCTTGCCCTCCAGCAGGGAGTCCAGCACAGCCCTGCTCGGCTCTTCGGCAGCAGGATCGTTCCCACTCACCACGTAGTAGGATGACCTCACCCTCTTGAAAAACTCTACATCAACGTTCTTACTATTGCTGTGGTTGGGAATGTAGACCAGGTCTAAATATACAGGAGGTCCTGGAGGGACAGCTATAGATTTTGTTTGTTTGGCATTTCCCGGTCCTTTAAAAGAAAAAATAATAAAGAGAGAATTATTGATGAGCAAGTATTCACACATATTGCCTACTAGTGTGACTTAAGAAGGGACAGAACTGTCTGATCACACTCTGGTTGCACTATAGACACACGTATTTTCTGATGAATTATGTTGCTGTCTATTGGCTCTGAGATGCTAAAATAGGATAACTGTGTCCCCAGGCTGGCTTAGTGAAGAGAACAAGAGTGTACTTTAGTGTTATTATAACACTGCCCTGTAAGTAATTTAACCAGTTTTGTTAAACACAAAATGGTCACTTTGCTGGTGGTGGTAGTAGGGGCCACGTGTGCAACAGAACTGGTGGTACTGGCTGTGTCGAGACCACAATGGTGGCCAGCCTGGATGGGCAGCACTGGATTCTGCTCAGGAGACAAGCGGCTTAGTTTGTTTAAAGGATTTAGGGTCTGCTTATACCATAACCTTCCAGGTTTCAGCACCCACTCGCACCAACTTCAACTCAACATGATTTCAGTGTTCATGAAATTCAATTTTATTGTATTTGTTGCTTAATGCTGCTTTTGCACAAAGACTCTCTTGATTTTGTTTTGCAAAAAGGGTAAATGAAGAATGGCAGCTGAACATCCAACATATAAGTACAGTGAAGCATAAGGAGGTTCGGTGAACAAGTAACAAAGGCTTACTAATCAAAGATAAAATAGGGGAAGGGCTGCACACCAGTAAGATGGGCCTTACATGGAGTGGAATACAGTAGTAAGCCACTATTGTTCTTTTTCAGAGGAGGACCACAGATCTTTAAAAACACTGTCTTGAAAAACAGGAAATAAATCTGGGTATGTAATATAATACTTACAAATAGTCACATCCATAATAAATAATAGAAAGTAATTGCTATTGCCTGAACAATAAGATACTGCTGGCACTATAGAAACATCATGATATCAAAAATTGCTTAAAAGTTATCAAAGTCAATGCCCCCTTTTTTCCAGACAGTAGTGCTGGCTGTAATGAACAGCATTGTCACTGTCTATTTGTATGTTTGTTATGGCCCAAGATATATTAATGGATGTGTAAAGCAGGTGTGCTGTCATCACGCTATCTGTTTGCAGTGGAAACCACAGGACAACACAGCAATTGTGTCTGCCATGGAAGGTGCAGAACCTGAGTCACTGTTAGACATTTTTAAAATTTAAATGAGTAAGTGAACAAAAGAATGAGCAGCCCAAATATATATTCTTTGAGCAAAGTGTTGTTGATCCATGTTGGTGATTGACATAAAAATTAGACGAAGCCAAAGACAGTGTCTTGATTGAAGGGAGCACTGATAGTCCTTATGTAAATTGCATTGGACAATTATAAGCATATGGTTCAAGCCTATGTTACAATTTCCCTTTTCTGCCTCCCAACTGCAGCCCCCTAGGTCTGCTTAGGAGAGTTGGGGATACACGGAATGCTGCCTGGGAGGGAAATCCATGTTGCCAGTGGCTTTCATTCCGCTGGCTGATGGGTAGGGTTCTGCTCCACTTGATGGATGGGCTGAATAGCTGAACAAAGAGACGGCCAACTTCATTAGCAACATCATTAAGAATATGACTTCATACCATAGGTTGCTTTTGCAGTTGAAGGGAACACCTCTATGGGACTCACCTTACAATTGCTTCTTACCTGCAGTCACTGTCTTTGCTGACTTTGATGTTGTAGAATTGGCTGCGTTCTTGGTTTCCTTATCCTTCTCCTCATTACGAGAAGATTTTATCTCTGGAGTAGAGATGTTTTTGGCAGCTTTCTCCACAGACTCCTTCTTCTTGGGTGAAGCCGTTCTCGACACTTTATCCAACGATTCTTTCAAGCCAGCAGGCTTTGGTGAAGCCACCTGCTTTGACTTACTGTCACTCTTCTTAGCAGGAGAGGAAGACTTGGTCTTGGTGCCCTGCTTTTTTGTTTTGGTCTTCTCTTTCAGATCTTTCCTCAAAGGTTTACCTAGATTCTGATCTATGGGCAAGGCTTCAGGGTCTACCATGGAGACATCGGGCTGCCTAGGTGAAGGGCTGCGATCTTGCATTGGGACTGGTGGAGGATCAATGTGTTCATATGTAATGGTTTTATCTGTTGGAATAGTTTCAGATTCATCTTCCGAATCAATGTTAGCATCTGCTGTAATAGAAGGGCACTCTTCAGTCTCAGGGGGCACGTCAGAGTCAGTCTGTGATGGAGCAGATTCACTTACTGAAGTTGGAGGAGTTTCGCCACACAGACGGCCTTGTTGTTTTCCTCCCGAAGGTGGAGGCCCACCTCCAGATTGAGTGAACGGCTTCTCTTGTTCCTGAGATGCTTCTTCACTTGCAAACCATTCTAAGGGGTTTGGATTGATAAAGGAAGGTGAAAGTTCTGTTTTGGGGTGCTTGTATTCACAGGAAGTAACAAGGCATAAATCCACATCTTGGCGCGTCTCTGATTTTTCTGAGGCAAAGTACTTATCAGTTTCATAGTGGTAACTAGCAGTGTCGGGTGATCTGGTAGTTTTTCCAGTCACCTCATAAGAGTAACTGACAGTCTCGGGTGATTTGCTAGCTTTTTCTGTGGTCTCATAAGAGTAGCTAATAGTTTCAGGAGATTTGCTAGCTTTTTCTGTGGTCTCATAAGAGTAACTGACAGTCTCGGGTGACTTGCTAGTTTTTTCAGTAGTCTCATAAGAATAGCTAATAGTATCTGGTGATGTGCTGGATTTTTCAATGGGCTCAAAAGAGTAGCTGACAGACTCCGATGATCTGGTGCTTTTTTCACAGGAATAAGCAAAGCCCTCTGGTGACTTGGGGGCTTTTTCTGTTGTTTCATAGGAATAGCTTTCTGTCTCAGGTGATCTTGTGGTTTTGCCTGTTGCTACATAGGAATAATCAAGAGCTTCAGGGGAGCCAGTGACTTTTTCTGTTTTTTCATAGGAATAACTAATAGCCGGAGCCGGAGGTGATCCAGTAGTTTTTCTAGTTCCATTGTATGAGTAATTAAGAGCTTCAGGTGACCTGACTGACTCGTCAGCATCTTCTTGACCTGTAGAGGCTAGGAGTTCTTGACTATGCTTTGTTAGAGGATCTTGAACTACTGAAGTATGATAGCCAAACTCTTTCTCTGGAGACATTTGCAATCCTAGTGGAGGTGAGTGGCTAGAAGCACTTGTTTCTTTCATCACAGGAGGTGAATCTGAAAAGCTAGGTGAGTATAAAGGAGAGGACTCTCGTGGTGTTAAGGGAGATAAGTCAGATTTCGGTGAAAGTTTTTCTCCCAGACTCTGCATTTTGTCTGATGGAAATGCAGAATGTAATGGCATATCACTAGGCTGCATAACCCCCGATATAGTCTCTTCTTGCAGGGGAGAACTTGCCTGCGATGGTGTATGAGCAGAAGAGGAAGATGGTGAAGCCTCTATCTGAGATACTGAAATAATCTCAGAAATATCCTTTTCATGGCCATAACATGCTTGGTCCACTGGTGATATCTTATGTGGGAAAGAGTGCTCCTGCACATCTGGAGGGCTATAATCAACTTCAGTGGGGCCATTTTCAGATATATGGTGCATAACTGTACCTGCTATGGGGTGTTCAGGAGACTGCCTACTGAAGTCCATTGCCAAAGACTGCTCAGGTGAATCTTGTCCAAATTCTACTGACATAGTTGACTGCTCAGGAGACCTATGATCTTGAACAGGTGTCCTTGATTTAGCTGTTTTAGGGGAAAAATCTGGGGGAGAAATAGACATGGGTCTTGGGCATTCCTCTTTAGATGGAGACATTTCTGTTTCCTGAAATGTTGTTGGTGTTTGTACAACAGACACAGAAAGAGAATCATCTACTTCAGTAGAATGAGGAGAACCAACCTCAGCATGCAGCGAAGGAGATACATCATCAGTGGTTGGTTCTGGAAATGAACTAGTAGCAACAGATGCTGTTGAAACAGAGGCAACTCCTTCAATATGTGAATAAGTGTCTTCTGCTACAACTTCATCAACAGGCGTTGCAGATTTATCAGAGACTGTGCCTTCAGAGATTGACATTTTGGTGTCTTCTTTGAAACAGCTAAAATGACTAATATCTACCTGTGTAGGAGAAACCTCTCCTAGCTTCCTTTCATCCAAAACCAATGCAGGCTGAGTTTCTGAAGTTTCTAAGTCATCTTTTGTCCTTTCTAAGATGAAGTCTGCTTTTGGTGATGGAAGCTGCATGTCTTTTTCAACTTGCTGTTCTTGGAAAATGCTAGGAGAACTCACTTCAGAAACCGGGCTCTTCTGTGAGGGAGATCTGTCTTTTTCACTTTTCTCTTCAAAGGGACTCTCAGTTTCTCTGACAGGAGACTTGACATCGGCACTCAAATAGGCATCATAGGAAGGTTCTGAACCTATCAGTGGTGGACTTCGTAAAGGTGAGAGCACTTTTTCAAAAGGTGATTCAGAGTCAGGCACTGGTTCATCCATTGGGCTTATTCTATGTTTTGCAATATTATCTTTGGCATCACTGACTTCAAAGCTGATTGGTGCTTCTGTCGCTTTTCCAGAAATCTCAGATGGAAGTTGGCTTGCTTTTTCATCTGTTGGAGACTGATAATAAGGTGTGTGCCCAGCACTACCAGCAGCGGATTGTGATGGGGAAACTACTTCCAATGTTTTATCATCAGGGCTGGGACAGTGCTCTTCAGGGGTTTCATGAGGTTTTTCAGGCAGCACTGTGAGAGCTGCAGGTTCTGTTGATACTTTAATTTCATTGGGAGTCAGCGAAAAGTTCACACTCCGTTCACTCAGAGGCGTTCTAGCAACTGGCGACAGAGGGGTTGGACTTTCATCTGGACTCTTAGCTGGACTATGTTTTTCATCCACAGCTTCTGAAATTTCTAATTTACCAGTACTTCTGACTTCATGTTCTCGTTGGTGGTACAGATCTTGGAAGGAAGATTTACTGAATCTGTCTTCCTCTAAGGAAGAAGGTGGTGAAATGGTAGAAGCCGAAACATTATAGTCTTTGCCTTCAGTAGCATCTGTTTTAGATCCTTCAGATAATCCATTGAAAGCATCAGGAAATGGTGAAAGTTTAGGCTTAGCAAATTCCTGAACATACAGTGCTGACTCATACTTAGTAATGTTAACATATTCCTGGGATGGGGATTCACTTTCCTCATTATTAGTTTCATCACTCATCACATCCCTTGGAGTTGACATTTCATCCATTGGAGTTGGCTCACTTGATATTTCAATCGTTGACTGGGTATAACCTGAAGTAGCCGTGAATTCCTCAGGCTGATCTTCCCTGTTTTCTTCATCTGAAACAGTTGCTTCACTTTCTGAACCACCAGGCAAAGTTTCATCATGGATGGAAGAGGCTGGTTCCTTAGCTGGAGATAGAGGTTCTGAGAGCTTCGTTGGAGTAGTTATATGCAAGCTGTATTTATGATCAATCTCACCAGCTTCTGCTGCTTTGTCTACAACAGCCATAACATAGTCCTCTCCAACTTCAATTTTTTCAGTTTCCTCTTCTTCATCTCTGACATCCTCAGTTTTGTCTTCCTCCTCAGTCCCTTCTATTTCTGCCTTTTCAACTGTTTCATCTACATATTCTTCATCTTGCTCCTCATCTGCCTTAAAGTCTGCTTTTTCATCATATTTTAAAGCTTTCATTTTCTCATGCTCAGGTATCGCAGTTATTTCCTTTTCAATCTCCCCGGTTTCTACTGTATCCTTCATATCTTGCTTTTTGAGACCTAGTGGTGCCTCTTCTTCCTCATTGTCAACTTGTTCTTCAGCCTCCTCTGTCTCAGCCTTTTCTTCATAGTCACCTGTCTCAGATGATTCTTCAAAACCTGTCCCTTCATCTTCAAACTTTTCATTGTCATCAACCCTGTCTTTTTCGACAGGCTCAAGTTCTTCAGGAGTTTGTTCACATTCTCCCTCAGGTTCAGTGGTAGTTATGCCTTCATCAGGAGAATCAGCAGGACCTTCTGTTTTCTCCTTCTGAACTTCATAATCCTCCTTTTGGTCTATATCTGTTAACTTGCCGTCATTTTCTATTATATCTACCTGAGGCTTTGTTTCCTTTACAGCTACAATTTCTTCAGCCTTTAATTCTTCGAAGTCTTTTGTTAAATCCTCTGGTGAAGACATGAGTGATCGCTCCACCTCAAGTTCTTTTCCAGGAGCTGCCAGCCCCACAGCTGCCACACTTGCAGCAACAGCTCCCACGGCAGTCGCCGCAGCTGCTGTTTCGGTAACCTTGACCTCTTTCTTCAGTGGCTTGCCTTTAACTTTTTCCTTTGGTTTCCCGACAAGTCCACTTTCCTTTTTGACAGTCTCTTCCTTCTTCTGTGGCTTAGGCTTTGTTGCAACCTTTTTGGACTCTGGCAAAGCAGCAGACACTTTCTTTGTTTCTTTTGGAACCTTCTTGGGCTCTTTTTTTTCTTCCTTCTTAACGTCTTTTTTCTCTTCTTTTTTAGATTCTTTTGGAGGTGCTTCTTTCTTTGATTCCTTCTTAGAGTCTTTTTTCAGGTCTTTCTTGGCATCTTCCTTTTTAGGTTTTTCTTCTTTCTTAGCTGGGATTTTTTCGTCTTTCTTAGGCGCCTCTTTCTTTGGTTTTTCCTTTTCCTCTTGCTTTTCCTCAGATTTCACTTTCACTTCCTTTTTCACAGGCTTCTCCTTCACTACTTTTGGTTTGACATCAGCTGCTTGTTTTTCAGCTGCTTCAGATTTCACAAGCTGCTGCTCCTTAGCTGTCAGATCTTTTTCTGTCACAGAAAGCCTAGCCTCAGCTTTTGCTGGCTTATCTTTTTTTACTGTGGGTTTTTCTTTACTTTCTACTTTTTGAGTCTTTTCAGGTGGGCTTGATTTACCTGTGTCAGGTGCCTCCTCTCTTGATTCTTTTCTGACTGTTTTGCTTGGTGGTGCTTTTGTGGCAGGTTTGAGACTTTCCTTACTGTCTGTTCGCTGCTTAAGTTTTGCTTGTTTTACTGCTGGACTTGCTACATTACCAGTTAGATCTTTCTGTGTAACTGTTGGATGCTTAAGAAAGTCTAAATGTTTGAGTTTCTCTAGTCCATCTAATATGCTATATTGAGAACTGTTTCCTGGGAAAAGAACTCTGATGATCTTTTCAGCAGGATTTGCAGGATGCCATACAATCAAAGATGAGATTGAAGTCAAATAGGAAACTGGTATGTCTACCTCTTGACCATTTGGTAGCACCAGTTCAGCTTTATCTTTGTTTGTACCTGTCCACTGGTGCATGAAATACTGCATCTCTTTGCTATTTTTCACTGGGTTGAGCACATACATTTCAAGCTTTCCAACTCCCATTTTTTGAAAAAGTATAATGGGTTCAATGCTTCCCACATTTCTAAAAAGAGGTTCTGGTTTCATAGATAACTTATTTAAGTACTGCAATGTGAAACAAGCTTCTTCCACGCTTCTTTTTAACTGAAAATTAGGATCTGGGTTTCCCAAGCTTTCAGGAACATTAAGAAATACAACCCCTAAATCAGGTGAAATCAGATTTTTCATCCAGTCGCTGTTGGTAGTAGATCCTTGAGACTGCTCCTCTTCTAATTCAGCTATCTTCCGTTGTAGCATGCTATTAATTCCTGGCAGGTTGTCATCTCCAATATGTGTGAGCAGAATTGAATCCACTCTGTCCAAATGTCGGATGAGTTTCCAGAAGCAAGATTTTCTCTCAGACCCTCCATTGATAAGCATGTTAAAACCATTAACTGCAAACAATGCAGAATCTCCTCTTCCACCTGGAAAGATGTAACAGCAAGGTTTAGAAAGTTTCAGAAAGCCACCGGAAGTTGGTGGCTCCAAGATATCAAAAGGTGATGGCACTTCTACTGATTCTGACAGATACTCTGTGAATTCAGAAAGTCCTTCCATTTCCGGCAAGATAGAGGCAGAGTTGAGTTTAATGTTGATAAAATCTTGAAGGTTGTGTCTCTCAAGATTTGAATTCTTCCAGTCCCCTTCCTCAGGACAGAAAAGTGTTAGACTGGCTTTGTTGGCAGGGTGAGTAGTGCTCAATAATTCTCCAATCTGGAGTTGGAAAACAGAAAGGAAAATATTATGTGGCAATTTACAATGAATTAAATTCACTTTCCATAAATCAAAAGCCTATTTTCAGAGCCCTGGTAAAGTTCAAAGTACAAGAAAGACCCCTTCCCTTTGTCACAAACTGTAACAAAAATAGAGAGAAATGTAATTATATTCATTCATTGGTAATTCTACATCCAACCTGTGCAAACTTTACCCAACAAGCTAAATACAGCTCATTGATCATGTGACTTGTGGAGACACGGCTGTGGAGAGACATGAAAGCGCTCTTCAAGTTCTTGGAAGGCTGTCACTCATGGAAGGGCCAGGATCTCTTCTCAACCATGCCAGTATACAGTGCATGGAATAATAAGCTTAAGCTACTGGAAGTTCAGGTTCCACAATAATTTTACTAGCCAAGACAAGAAGATGTTCCTTGGGGACCTAAAGGAGCATGATCTATAAAACAATATCTATGGGCGTTTTCTCCCAGTAGTTGTGCTGGAAGAGTTCATGGGATGCAGGAGGGAATTTTTTCTGCGCAGGTCACCTTGTAGCATTTGGCTCAAGTAGGTGTATATGGTTTCAGTTCAGTAAGACCAGATTCTGTTGGCTTAAAGTCTGCTCTTTCCTCCCTAAGCAGAAGGTTTAGATCCTCTAACTGGTTAAGCTGAAAAATGTGATCCACAAACCTAGTCAGGTGTGATCCCCAAACCCTAAATGTCTGCTTTCAAGATCTGAGCACTTGTTCTTTTTAAGCACAGAGCTCGTTTACTTGCTTTGGAGTGGCAGACAGACAGAGCAGATGTTTTACCCCTAAGAAATAATCCCCCCCACCCCCGGGTGTGTGTGTGATAGGATAGTGGAGGATTGGGATGAAATAAAATAAAGACAACTGAAGAACTCCATTGTGTTCATATGTTACTGAAACAGAATGGTTGGCCTATATAAAGAGATCGTATCCAAATATCAGATAAAGCTTTACCTATTATTAAAAAGAAACAAGAAATGTAATGAACAGGAAAAGTCAACACTCCTAAATATGAGAAAAATGCCAAGACAAAACATTTCAAAAAGATGGCTGAACTTATCTATATTTTAAAAAATGTTTATCATCAACTAACTAGATGAATCTCCTGACAAATAACTCTGGAATGACCATCACCTTTCTCTTGAAAAGACTGCATAACTTAGCATCTATGATAAAGAGCGGGCACCACCTTTTCATATGCAAAAATGAAGTTACTTCTAAAAGAAAATGTCATTTTATTTCAGTGTCACTCCTTACATTCCCAGAACAACTTCGTACATCTCCCACACGTATGCACACTTCTAGGACTGCAGAGGCAAGGTCGTTCTGCCGCAGCCACATACCATTAATAAAACACTGGATGTTTAAGTGCTCAACTGCATTCTAAAATAGGGCTCAAGTGATCAGACTGTTCTTGGGCCAATGTCCTTGTGTACATTCATAAGTCTGTTCTATCCCATTTCCACTCTGATTTGTGCGTTTTGGAGAGGGCGGTTTTTGGAAAGAAATCTGCATAGATTCTTCACACCATCTCCCAAATAAGCATGTCTATATATATTGTGTCATAAAATCCACACTTTAATATCCATCCTGGTAATTGTTGGTTTTGTTTTTGTTTTTCAAGGGACAAACAGACTAATGCACCTATTAAGGGTGCAACGCTATGCATACTTTAGAACTGTAAGACTTTTTCCTACCCAGATGCTTCAGATTGCATCCTTTGTTAAGGATGCTCAAAAAGTGGAGGAAACAACTGTAGCTAAGAACAGTGATGTCATCAAACACTGAGGTCAAATCACCAGAAAGCTTGTACCTGTTTAACAGGATACACAGAGCTGGGGAATGGGATGTGGTAAAATTCTGGATCTGCCCATAATGCAGACAGCATGAAAAAAGGCTAATCTGGATGTGTGTTCACAATTTGCAGAAAGTAGATCTGGGAGCCAACCCTCAAGTTCACTGATTAGATTAGATCCCCAAGACTCTGGGAACCATTAGTAAAGGAGAAATAGGGGCTAGTTCTTCTTTGGAAAGCTACGTGTGCAATACCCTGTGTAGAAACTGAGTAGGAGTTACATAGATATATTCCCGGCAATCAAACCAGAAAGGTAAAAAGGAGGCCTTACCTGGAGTGGCACAAACATTTGCTAAATATAGTATAAGGCTAGGCTGCCCATGCTATTGATTCAAATGGCAATTTACACTAGAATTAGAGTCACTCTATGTCTGTCTATATGTGCTATAAAAATGCATAATTCAGCCTGACAGTCTGTTTACCATAGGTTTCTTGCCCAACAGGAATTTGCAGACACTATGCATTAATTGTAAGCCAACATAATGTGTAGAGAAACAGACAAACAAAAAAGGAAAGGCAGAACTTCTACTTAACAATCACAGATAGTTGTAGTTAGTTGATACACACTTTGCCAATTCGGAAAATGTTGGTATTTTAAATGCTCTGTAGCCAAATTAGTAAGGTTTTAAATGTGGCAATATCAAATAATATATCCTGTGAATTGCTGAGCAGGGTTATCAATGAAATACAGTGTGCCAAATGTTCAAACATTGCCATATTAAGAGATACTGCTTTCATTTTACAAGTATTTATATCTCCCTGACTGTGGAGAAAAACTCTGCAAATATCTGAGCTGCGTCTGCTAAACCCCTGGAAACTATGAGAGCCAATTCCATTTTAGTTTTTAGACATGGGTGCAAAATGTACCTGGGTTTACAGGGTAAATTAAATTTGCAATGTAATTGGCTGTTGAATGGTTAAAGACTATTTCCCTTATAATATACACAGAAGTGAGAATTAGGAAAGGAACCTGTTTCCACACTTTTCTTGAACTTTGTTTCAAATTGCTTTCTGGAATGCAGAAGGAAAATTGCTTAAGGAAGGCCCATTGCTTGTCAGTCTCAGGATCTGGTGTAAATGTGTATTTGTAATATAAAGGACTGTGATATCACTATGCAAAGCCCCTAAAATAGTGCAGTTTGAGCACTTGCAACAATCTCAAGGTATCCAGATTCTCTCCACCATGCTTAAAATTTAAGCTCAATTGGTTACCAGGTGGCTTTCAGACACAATTCAAGGGACTTGTTTTAAAATTTACAACCATACAAAGTATAGTCACTGCTTTGTGTTGGTGCTGCACCCCTTCAAGTCACCTTGAATGCCCTCCCTATGAATGAGTACCCTCCAAAATGTTCTGTCTGTGCAGCCCTGCTCAGCTCTCAAGGCTGTGGCTCCTTTTCTGGAATTGTCCATCTCATTTGGTCTTTGTCTTATTCCTCTGCCTTCAACTTTCTCTAGCAACACTGTCTTTTCCAGTGAGTCCTTCCTTCTCACAATCTGCCCAATCTAGCCTAACTTTTGTCATTTTTGCTTTCTGGGCAAGCTCTGGCTGGATTTGTTCTAAGACCCATTTGCTTGTCCTTGTATCAGTCTAGGGTATTTACAAAGCTCTCCATGTTTCTAGCACATCAGTTTCTTTGTGTCAGCTTTCTTCGCTGCCCAAGCTTTCACACACATACTTCACAACTGGGAATGCAACAGGGCGGATGATGATCTCAGACTCATCTCCAATGAAATGCCTTTATACTTGAGGATTTTTTCTAAATCCTTCATCACTGTCCTTCCAAATCTCAGTCTTCTAATGTCTTGGCTACAGCATTGATTTAGCTAAGATATGCAAAAGTTTACACTAATTCAATTTCTCCTTTGCTCATGAGGACAATCAAGGGCTGAGGCACACCCATTTCTTTCAGAACCATCCATAGTTTCCCATGATCCACGCAGTCAAAGGCTTTGCTGAAGTCTAAAACACAAACTGATTCCTGGTGCATTCCAGTAGCCAACATGTTTTTGCAATACGATGTTAAGTGTCCCTTCCTTTTCAAAATCCAGCTTCACTGTCACAGCATTCTTGCCCCATAAATTTATTTGATGTAACATCTGGAGCATCACTTTGCTTGGATGAGATTACTGTAATGGTCTGGTAGTTGCTGCACTCCTTAGCATCTCCTCTCTTAGGGATTGCAATGTATATTGACCATTTCTAGTCTGTGGGCCATTGTCTTGTTTCCCATACTAGCTGACATATTCTTGTTAGGATGTGGTCCAATTCCATTTCTGCAGCATGGAAAAGTTCTGTTGGTGACCTGTCTACTCCAGAGGCTGCATTCCTTCCAAGTGTTTTCAGAGCGGCTGTCACTGCCAAATATTGCAGTTTCTTTCTCAAAGGATCCCTTTTCAAAGAAGTGGGTCATCTTTTTATTTCTTCTCCATAGTTCTTCTACCTTCCCTTTATTTAATCCAGGTTAGATAGTATGTTCCCCTGTTTGTCTTTCAGAATTCCTAATCTGAAAGTTAGAATTTCTCTGTCTTTGGGATTTTCCTCTTTTGCTGTTTTCTTCTATTTCGTTGTATTGGCCACTGTAATGGTTCATGTTTGTCCCCAGGTAATAATTGCTGAAAAGTTTCATTCAGGATTCAGATACTATTTCTGTTACCTTTTGCTTCTTGCCTGTCTTTAGCAATTGTGTGCCTTGGTTAATGCTTACTGTAAAGGAAATTCTCTTTTTACATGTTCTTACTTGTGTATTAAGATCTTGTGAAGAGGCCTTTTCACAAATGCCCGCTTTCTGATGTGCAGCAGCTACAAATTTCCCTGCCCAGAGTGAATTCACAGTCTCCCAGCATTTTACCCTTAAGAAGCTGGCAGAAAGAGTTCTGTCTTGCTGAAACTTAATTAATTTATGATTAGGCAGAAGTGTTTTCACCCCCCACCCCAAAGCTTTTGCTTTGTACTTTGGTATTTGCTTTATCACACATTTTGTAATACAACTTAGTATCTTTGTTATTTTGGTCCCAACCCCTTATTGTTAAAGTTTGTAACACTGCAATCCTGCAGCCACCAGACACTGTCTAGGCAGGCACAGGAAAAGTTGGAGACCCAGTTCTGGGCTCAGAAAAGTGCTCCAAGGTCAAAGCTGAGACTCTGGTGCCAGAGCACCGCACCCTCACAGCCAGTGTGGTTCTTTCCACACTGCCTGTGGCTCCTTAGTTTGAAGACCGACTTTGAAGCTGGGCACGGGAGGGTGGGAGTGGGGACTGTCATCCTACAATGAATTCTGGTGCTCCTGCTGCCTTTGCCTTCTCTCCTTGCAAGCTGCTATAAAACATCAACATGACCTAAATCCTCCATCTAAGTCTTTTGGAGGGCAAGGGAAGGGCAGAGGCAACCCTCTCCCCTGTGCTCCTCCTGCCCTCCATTTGATACCCAGAATCCTTTGAGTTTGGAGGGCTATGGGCAGCCACATGTGATGGCGCCCTAGATCTGCAAAATGTACAGATAACTAATGTTGAAGAAAACAAAGACACTTTAGAGCCTTGTCACATATGGTGAGAGTAGCAAACTATTAAAGGGCAAACCTCTTGGTCAGTGAAGATCTCAATAAAATTCTGAAATGAGAAAGACCCAGACTGTAGAATGAGCTCGCCGGTGTTTTCAAAGCTCTGCCCAGTCAGTACCAGCAGCTTGTGTCTTGCAGCATCTGTGATCATTAAACGCACCTGTGATAAAAGGCAAACCAATACCTTTGAAACATTTCCTGCATCTCTGTACAGATAAGCAATCGATGTGTACAAAACTCAAATCATTATCAATTCAATGAAGCTGTGTATGATTCACTTTGTATTTTTTATCCAAACACACTGGAAGACTAGACATATGTAAGTGTGTGTATATATATATATATAAGCAAAGAGAAAGATGCATACAGAAAGATGCATACCCTGATCCACCATCTTAATCCTCAGGTCAAATAAAAATCCCTATAACAAACTCAGACTATAACCAAAAAACAAGCAGCAGCACAGGCAAGAGAATGACATTAAACCAATCAGGTTAAAACTGCAGAAAAACAAACACAGCCAATAAAGCCATGTCAGCTAATGCTTAAAATGATTGGAAGCACAAATGTCTTTGCTGGGCACTAAAAAGACACAATAGTATGCACTACATGAGCTTTCCTGGGGAGAGAAATCCACAAAAAAGTGCTATGAATAAGAAGAACAAATGACTGAACATGCACGTTTGATCATGAACCAAAAATGTGCATTAATCATTCCATTCCTTTCTAATGGAATTTTAGCTAGCATTTCAAAGCTGAAATAAACAAGGAATCTTTAAGAGGCTTTGCACTCCTAAACACACTTCTTAGGGAGTAAATCCCAATGAACACAATGCATGCAGAAATACTAACTTTTTCATAAACATGTGTATCAGTGTTCTGTTAAAAACTTACCTGGGTAATAAATAAACTGTGTGCAGGGTTTAGGGCTAACAGGCCAGTACAGACCTCTATTAAATGAGTAGTAGAGGTTTTTAACAGAGACAATGCGCCCTGTTGCAAAAGTGCTGCAGTGGCAGGAGAAGCTTTGATGGTCAACTTGCCTGTTTTGCAATGCTTAAGTCCCAGGATGTGAACCTGAAACCCCCAGGGGTTTTGAACAGGGCTGTCTTGACACATGGGCCTGATGGGCACTTGTCCGTGGGCCCCATACTAATCTGTGTATGTTAACCCTTCATTTTTACATTTTTATTCCTGTGAGTAGTTGTCGTAGGGGCCCCAGTACACTGCTTTGCCCGGGGCCCATAATGCTAAGACAGCCCTGGTTTTGAAGGGGTACAATAATAGAAGAAGTAGCTTCTTCAAACCAGATGCCAAGATACGCATCTACATATATTTAGATATTAGGTGGAGGGTCAGAGCAGCATGGTTTTTTGATGCCAAAAATGATCACTTTCAAAAATAACTTTGTTCTCCTCTCCCTCAGTGTTTCTCAAGTGCACCCAACAGTGGACTTACTGTTTTAGGTGAATTATTGATGCTGACTGGAACAGCTGAATTCTCTCAAAACAGTTTCTCAACAAGCCACCTTTTTACATGTATCGACAGTAAAAAAAAATCAATTGTTCTTAAATAATTCCATCTTATACCATGAAAAAAAATTCTGCTTTGAAGTCAGGGAGTTGCCTTTACAGAGAGTTCAAGGGTATTCATGAAAAAGCTTGAAACAGCAGAAAACCACATAATCAGAAGTAAATCCCATGCTGCTTTGACACTAATTGTGTTGGGATATCAAAATGTAACATTATTCTTGATGGGTCAAGTCCATGTTTTGTATGATTTTTCCAGAAAACACTGAGGATGGTATTCAGCTGTCTGATGAATGTCACTTAAATCTTATTTAATTGCATCAAATCCATTAAAAATGGAATAATCTTTCTTTATTGTTTCCGTTGTTTTGGTGGCAAAGCTCTGGGAAAGTTGCCAGTTTTTTTGTACAAAGACATTAGCTTTACCAATATCTCCCACCCCTGATATATTTAACACTTACATATGACTGCTGCATTCTGTTCCTAAACTTTGTATACTTGTTGATGGACATAAAAGTCATGCAGAAATGGATAACACAAGAGGAAAGAAACCAAAATCAAATTATTCTTAGAATTATATTTATTTATAAAGTTGAATGAGGTCTCTGGATTTTGCTATTCAAAATTTTCTGAAAGACAAAACTCTTACCAAATGAGAATAAAGAGTAATAAAAGCTTTTAAAAAATAAACGGAGACTGACAAAATGACAACTGAGGAACTAAAAGCATTAAAACCAACAATGCATTGTGGGGACAGGGTTGGATCTAGAATGCGTTAGTCACACATTAGCCCTTTTAAAATGAATGTTAGTCTTGACTAACTTGATTCAGTGATTTCAATTGGGCTGAGATAAAATTGTGCTAAAGGAAGGTAAGGAGATGTATCTGACACCTGTTCCTGACTGACTTTTTCACAATCTGGAAAATCAAGCCAAACAATAGAAACAAAGAGAAGTCTTACTGACAAATTGCAAATTGACCAATTACCTGGTCTGGATCTTACTGAAAACTTCTTAAAGAACTGAAAAGTAAAGTTGGTAATCTTCTAAGGAAAATGTATAACACAAGAACCACGCTGAATCAGACCAAAGACCTTCAGTGCCGCATTCTGTTGCACAATGGCCAATCAGATGCCTGTCCAACATGACAGAAATGCAGTTTCTTCAGCAACTGGTACACAGATGCATGCTCCTCTGCTGCCTGAATTACTATGTAGCCATCATGACTACTAGCCATTTATATCATCATCCTCCATGAGCAGTCTTTTTACCAGGGGACTGGAAAGCAGTCAATGTATTACCCATTTTTAAAAGGCGATCCTGGAGGATTCCAGGAAATTACAGGCTTGTTGGCATAATTTCCATTAGTGGAAAGTGGGTTTAAGTAGATTTTAATTAGTGGAAAGCATGATTTAAGATAAACCTATCAAGAATAATGAACAAGCCAAACTGGTTTTTCCCTCCCCATTATCCAAATTTCACTTACTGCTGAGGCCTGAGCTGTCAGTGACTTCCAAGAAAAGAGATCTTATGGTCATGGTGGACAGCTCAATTAAAAAGTCATGGTGATAACCACCAACAGACACACTTAAAAGGGAATTATAAGAAGTTATGTTATCAACGTCTACTAGTCATGATGGTGCAACCCTACCTCTAGGACCAGAGGCAGAATGCCTTTCAATGCCCAGTGACGTGGAACATGAGTGAGAGAGGACTATTTCCCACATGGGCAGTTTGTGGGCTTCCACAAGCATCTGTCTGGCTTCATGAGAATTAGGACACTGCCTTAGGATCTTGCAGAGCTCCTGTATGTTCACATCATCTGCTTTTCCTTCAGAAATTAAAAAAGGGAGATATAGATTGCTGCCTGGGAAATGGCAGGGAACAGAAACAAAGACAGAAAGGGGGGAAAGGACCTTAGTTCACCATTAAAAATCAGGACAGTTAGAGCAGAATCTTATCACCTTCATGGGAGATGCTCAATTTGGAGGCTTACAAGTACTCAATGCAAGGCTCAAAGCACAGCTGCTGCACCTCATGTCTTGCATTTTACCTTGATGGCCATTTTCAGTTATCTAGATGCGGGGCAAGTGAGGGTACAAGCTTGTGTGAGCACAACTTTGTGTCCTCAGCCTCTGGCCTGCCAGCACACCTCTTTTCCCCCTCAGACCTCGTTGCCACATGGTTCTTTCTGCACTTCTGCAAGGGGGCAGCTGTTCAGCCTTAAGTGTCTGGGCACCAAGGCTGGAGGACCTCAGTGCTCAGACTCCAAAATATCCTACAGCCTCCCAGACAATGTAAGGAGGGCATAGAACTGCATCCTTAATAAAGCACAGTTATTGCTTCCCAAGCTCCTTTAAATGAAGCTGTTGTATGGCCATTGTGTACAATGTATGGTGCACTTTGCATTACTTTACCTCAGTGCTGACTGCTTCATCCGAAGGATTGATCAGGACTACAGTTTCTAAGACATCGCTTCTGTGGTGAAGAATTTTCTGACCTGCAAATATGGAAGGAGCAAAAAGTGAAATGTGTGGCTGGAACTTCAGTGACCTTATTTATCACCATACCAGGAAAGGTAGTTTCTCCAACCTGCTCACATTTCCTTTCCTCTGTCATAAAAAAGATTCATGCTTTCCAAAAGGTGTGAGCAGATCACAATATGAAGGCTCTGAAAAGAACAAATCCTATGTGATTATGCTCCACGTAAGACACCACTGGTGTAAATGCTCAAAAGTTAGCACGTGCCTGTTTCTCCGTGTGATGTTCCACAACCTTGGAATGACTCCCTCCCACTTCTTTTCTTTTTCTGGCATTTGGCATCACTCTTTTTCTGCTCTTTTCTCTGAGAACTGCATTGAGATTAATTAGCACTTTTATTGCAGTTGTGAAGGAAATGTCATCCAGATACCCTGGCTGGCAATTAGTCCAACACCCAAAAAAGAAGCCTGGCACAATTTAAAAAATGATTAATGAATTAATTAACCTTGACCAAAAAAAATGCAGGGAACAAGTAATTCATTTGCCAAGTTTGAAATACTACTGTTTTGTACACAGCACACATACTTTTGAGGGGAAAAACACTCCTGACGTGGAAACACTGTTCCAGTTTTAGGCATATTAGGGATCCTGTCTTTCTTCCAATGCATTTTTTTAGATGCTGCACAAGCACATTGCAAATATTTTTCTTAGTCATGTTCCTACTGCTTAGTTTAACAATTCTAGTGTTTTCAGGGCAGCTGTAGCTCTGCGGGAAAGAGGAATTGAAGTGGGATTTTTCTTCATCACTCTCTCCACCTGAAGTAAGAACTCTGACCATAGGTAAAAATGCCATGTGGTTGTGTGCCGGTGGGTGGGGAGAGAACACACCTGCCTCAGGTACTGGCTCCACTCTGACAGTGCTGCTGCACCCAAAGAGCCACCGAGTGGAAAATCACTTGAAAGAAAAATGGATACACAAAATTGCCTCTGGTGCTCCCTGCATTCTATTAACAGACCACAGGAGACCAGGTATAGGATGCTGGGAGCCCTCTAAACTTGGATGCTTCTGTCTCTCCATTTTCTGAAAGGTAGGATTGCTCCCTTATGTCAGTGTAACTGTATGTGTGCCTGTTCTGAAGTAAGCCCTATTAAATTCACTGGGACTTATACTCAGGTAAGAGTACATAGATCTGCAGCACGGAGATTAATTTTATAGGGTGACAGCTATAATCCGCTACCTTTAACAAACCTTCAGATTAGATTTCTAGCATATCAACAGTTCCAAATTTGTGCAATTTCAACAAAAAGAAGAATCGCACAATTAGGCTGGGTAGTTTTATGAAAAACATTTTTTCATACTTTTAATTGCCTCCTAGAAACAAGAGTGGATTCACAAAAAATGTTGCTGTTTATAGTATATTTATTTATTCCCTCTTTTTAGCCCAAGAATTGTATTGTAATATGGCAGATTATTTCCAACGTGAGGATGAGAATGTGATACCATCTGCTGTATCCAACTGTCAACACAGGATCAATGATAAACAAACATTGATATGGCCAAATATTCCTACCAATGCGCTATTTTACTGACACACTGCCCCCAGGTAAAGATGCCACAGATGAAGTGAACTAGCCCCTTTGTTCAGAGACTTAATTTCCACTGGTCTGATTTTAACACATTAGTCAGGCAGCCAAGTGATCCTATTGATTGTATGCTGGAGGTGCACTACAGATCATTTATTTTGTGGACAAGATCATCCCTTGTATGTATAAAGTTTACATACTGGAATCAAATACAGAAGTGCTGGTCAAGGAAGAAAGCATAGTTCTGGTGCTTTTTTCACACTGGTAATTACTGATATCGGAATTAATGTAACTTCCATCACAGATAACTGAAGTATTCAACAGACTGATCAAATAAGGTGTCAGTTTTAGCTGTTGTGGCACTGACCACCGATTCTGCCCAAACATGTTCCTAATCTCATTGTTTAAGAAGCATCTGGGGAAATTTTGGAAGAAGATTAACAAAACATACATGGCTGACGTCAATAGTAGACATTATGGGGCACCTGCCAAGGGCCATGCCTTTACACAGGGATGACTGCCAGTCCTCAGAGCCTTGTGGCTCTCCTCCTCCTCACTCTGAGGGCTTGTTCACCTCCCTTGCAGAAGCATATAAGCAGCCATCAGCATAAGAAGACAGAAGAACATCTATCGTCTATTGGCTTTGTTCTCTCCATCTGTGCAGTTGTTCAAATTAGCTCCAAAAAGAGAAGTGACATGAATAGGCAGGAGAGATGGAAGCAAGATGGAGGTGGCCCTGGTCAGGCAGTGGGCCCATGAAATGAAGGGCATGTTGCCCATGGGCCCCCCAAAGCAAATGGTGAAAATAATATGTTTATTACAGTCATTTCCAATGCTAGAGACTATAGGTTTACCACAGACATTACATCACAAAGAGTTTAATGGATGTCAGAGTCAGCAAAGCTCTCTAATAAATCTTCTGCTCACAACTGAATAATAAAATGAATTGTCAGCAGATTGGAGGTACTTTCAATTAGCTTTGAAGTATATTGACTCCTATGTTGCCTTGCCTTGTGGAAACATTCCTCTAATGCATATAAAGACAAAATAATACTGTGGGAGGGGTGTCAGAGGAAGAAGGAAGGGACTATACTTTGAAATAACTGTTTTGCATGCTAAAAAGCAATATGAATTTATTATTTTAACATTTTTAGGCAAATGGGAAAATTGGTGTCAGTGTTATCAAGGGCTAACAAAATTCTAGCTATATACCACCTAAACAACAGATGGATCTGGAATTTACGTTTTTAGATTGCGTATTAATGAAAGCTTTGGCCACCTCCAGATTTCCATGCAACACAGAATGGCTTAGATCCATGATATGAAACTGAAATTGCAGAGCTTAGTCTGCATCAGGAAAAAATGTTCTAACTGTATTGTCAGTAGAGTCTGAATGCTTCCTAATATTACTTGTCATTCACGCTCTGGTTATGGATGGCTGATCTGTGGACAACCACAAAGTGGGTTTAGACAGTGAACAAAAGCATTTTTCCTGGCGTTCCCACAGTGCAGCTTCACAGCCTTCAGCTGAAGAATCAGCTGGGGAAATCACTTATAAGTGACAGGAAGGCCTTCGATCCTCTTAACCCCCTTCCCATCACCACCTGGGTCCAAATGGACAGGTTTTTCAATATTTCAATCCTCCAGTGAATAAGAACGGAAAGTATCTATCTCACAGAAAGCCTGGCTCTTATTGCAGGCTAAGACAAGGCAACCCATGGAACGCACTTAGGGAACATATGAATGGAAAAATAATGCAATACACTGATTAGCATAATAGGGGCTACTGTACTATGCCAGACAATGAGGCTTGCAGAAAAGTAGCCTGTTTCCAATAACAGCCACCCTTAATCAGATAATTGCATGGAGTTAAATTGATTTATGGAAGGCGTACGATTTACAAGATAATCAGTGACTGAAGTGCTACTTCCAGGGAAAAGGTTCACTTTTTTAACATTGGTAAGCAAATTAAAAGATAAATAAATACTGATGGCAAAAGGTAAGTGATAACATTAAATGGATTTCAGACTGAAGCACAAGCCAATTCAGTGAAAATATATGAGGTTAACTGAAGATAAAGTACTTGGGTTTACATCCAGAATCAGCATTCCATCGATGGAAAAATACAACCGGCAGAGCAAGAGTTCCACACCCACTCCTCCCTGCTGCAGTTCCCACAAACCCTTCAAATCTGCCCCAGTGGGTTGGAGGAGCCTGTGGAGGAGATTTGGAGCCCATGAGGCACTGGAGAGGGGGGGCGGGGAGGAAGCAGAAGGCCAGTGGTTTCTTTCCACTGGCAGCGTAATTCTGGATTCAACCCTTGAAATGTAACTGAGGTGCAGCCTGATCCTATGTGTGGTTTCTCAGAAATAAGTTCCATAGAGTTTATTCCCAAGGAAAATTACACAGCATTGCAACTTGCATGAGAATCTGCACATTGTCCTATTTGTGTGAGATCCATGCAACGCCTATAAAGTTGGGGCAATATTTAAAGGGCTCATCTAAGTGGGCATTCACAAAATGCTTGCTGCATTGGCACCTCATCAGAGGGAAAGTTCGGATTTCATGGGAAAAATCCACATGACTGGTCTTACCTATATAACTTTGGTCACTGTTCAGCTGCATGGAATCCACTCCCAGAAAAAAAACCACTCTTATGTCAACAAAGTTATACTACAAGATCCTCAAAATAGCGAAAATCAATCTGGCAAGACCCAATATAATTGAGAACTAAGTCAATTCCGTCATAAAGCTTTATCTGTTTTCCTACAAGTCCTTATGATTTAACCATATATACCAGCATAGAAGATGGCCATGAAATTGGAAATAGTGAAGCAAAAATCAGGAGGTCATCTTATATGCCTGGTAAAAAAATGTATTGTATAGTTGGACCCTGGGATATAGGCTCTGATCCCCTAGTGGATGCCTGAAATCACAGGACTCCTATGCAAGTAGAAAAACTGTAAATATCTCTAGGCTTTTCTTCCTCTGGAACCTTTTATTTTCTGAAGAACACAGTTTCCAGCTTGACAGCCAGTTTTTGCAATCTCTGTTGTGATAGCAAGCGACAACCCTTTCAAAGTGCTCAAACCATTCAAGGGGCTGTCAGTAGCTGGCAAACTATTGTTGTTGTTGTGCTGAGTGTGTACAAATGTTTTTGTGATTTTTTTTACTGTGGATGGGAGCCTCAGTTGGGCATTGTCCTGCAGATACCTGCTTTTGAAATGCAGCAGGTACCAATGCTGGACACTGACTTAAAGATGCCCCAAATAAGGATTTCTTTGCTTTCTCTTGACAGCTGTCAACAAGCAAACTGTCAAGGGAAAGCAAAAACACAGGGGCTGTCTGCTCAGAAAATAAAAGTGGTGAGATTTACACCCCTCCTATTTTCTTCTTTTCCCTAACTATCCTCGGGGTACTTCACATGCTTCAATT